CCATTTAGTAATACACTTGTTGTGTTTGCTATTTAAATTCCTAAATCTATATCTTAAGAGTGGTTATCTTAAGTGTGAGTTTTAGGTTCTAGATATTTAATTAAGTGTGTCATATCTTGATTGAATTCTAGATTCAAACCCCAAGTTAAGATAAGAGTATGTTATATCTCTTAACACCATCTTGGTTTATCCCTTCACTTTACCTCTGCCAATTTCATTTCTCACCATTTCTTCTTCTTGAACTTATTCTTTTCTTTCATCAAAAACCCAAAAAAAACAACTCTTTGTTCCACCCCCATATTTCGTCCCCCTCATTTCCTCTTCACCATTCCATAATTCCATCTTCAAATAGCAACTTGATTATACCCCGGGTCTCGGGTATAACAAAAAAGAACATCTACCACATACTAACAGAATTTTCTTTGGTTCAGACATGGCTCCTTTGTGAAGCCCAAGGGCTTATGTTGCAATATCATCACCATTCACTTTTATAAAAAGGCCTACCCACTAAAGATATTAATGGTAATGACTAATGATAATGTCACATAGGCTCTGGCACACCCAAATGCCAAATATCATCAATTTTTTACATTTTATATAAACTTTAAGTAATGCTGGCTACCGCTCAAATTTGTGTAATAAGTCTGGACAATAATACTAATTTCATCCCTATTTAATATTCCCATTTGCTTTTTTACATAGAGTTTACGAGAGGTGAAATTATGTGGTTGAAATTTGTGCAGAGGAGAGACAATTGATGTGAACCAAACAATACTTTCTTTAAAATGGAATAGGAAGATTAATTAGGGACATCCAGAAAAGAAAAGTGTGAAGATAAAAAGGGATAGAGGGAGTACTAGTTTTGTATTTTTAGGGAATTTGTTGTTTTGTAAACCTTTTTCAAATGAAAGTACAATTTATACGAATGCATATCTTGTTGGCCGAATCCATTATTACAATTATTACATGCTGGCCACATCACTTCACATAAGCTACCAGACTCCATAAAATAGGTATTTTGGCCCATAAGATTTTGGTGAAAAGGGAAGCATACATCTATTCATGCAATACAGCTTTATCATCCTGCAAACAGCTGGATAAACTGATGGAGGGAGTGCAAGGTAGAAGAGCCTCTTGGATGATCCTTCTATGCTATTTTTTGATTTTTCATGTTCACTTATTGCCTTATCTAATGACTGAAAAGCTTCAACAGAGTCATAACCGCCACATATATATTTCATCTGTGAAAGTTTACTAAGCATAAGAAAGAATTACATTGATGTTACAATAATGGGGGTGATTATGGATTGGTCATGATACTAACCAATTGCAGAAAATTTGAAACAGATTCGGGATTCTTTTTCTCCAGGGAAAGATACCTGCAATGAAATTGTAGGCGTCCATCAGTTATGAAATTCACATGTATTAGCTTTAGATTCATGATTTTTGAAACTAAAAGGAATAATAATAATATAATAAAAATGGTAAATCGATGAATAAGATAGAACTCATTTGGACAGTAGAGAGACATGGGGAAGTTGAGGTACTAATAAAACACTAAATAATCTATACATGTGATGCAGGTTTGGAAATTGATCAGCCACACGATAAAGTAAATACAAAAAGAGTGAAAATTGAGGACATGGTAGTACAAAACTCTCACCCGCGAATATGGTCTCTGAATTCATTAACTGTAAATTTGGTTCTTGCATGGCCAAAGATGTTAACATCGTTAGATTTCAAGAATCCCTGCAAGTAACGAAGTTTGAAAAGTACATAAGCAACAAGACATGTTCAAACTAAAGTTGCAGCCAAAAAAATCATGATCAAGTTAAAATTTAGCATGTGATGAAGTCTTCACTAAAAAGCCTGGGATATTAGGATGAGCTGAATAGCAGGGGAAGCACCTGGCGGTAGAGGTTGAATAGTGCAGGAAAAGTCTTCTTCTTTGCAAGATCACCAGAAGCACCAAGAATAACAATGGAGAGGCACCCAGTTTCGGTTACACCTTTCGTTTCTCCTCCAGATGATTCATTGTTGACTGCACCCCTTTTCTCCACACACCACTTATCAGATGCTATATCTTTCTACAGAGTTGAAGGAAAAGCCAACCAAAGTAAATTAATGGTATTGGTGTTTAATCTAGCACCCAGATTGACGTAGCCAAAGTCGACAATGCCAATTGAATATAAACAAAGTAGTTAGCAGGAATCAAATATGGTACAATTTTTTACCAAGCAAAGACAGGCCACAAGCCACATTATTAAACAGGCCAAAAAAGAGCCATGAATTTCTCTCCATCTCATAGAAAGATTCATGTTTCAGCAAGGTATGCAATATTTAAAACTCAGTAATGTATAATCATAGGAAATCATCAATTCTTATTTTGTTTCCTTAGACTCATTTAATTGTTGATGTTGATGCACTAAATCCAACATATTTAACTTCTTTGAAATACAAAGTACGTTTTTTATCTCTTTTTTGGGAAAAAATATGACAATAACTAACTCCTTTTTTTTGTGATTGATGAACTGCTTTGTAGTTACTCCGTATTATTAAAAGTAAACAAAGTGAATGACAAAACTGTCATTGAAATACCTGTCGTCTGTGTTTCCAGATTCCCATGCCTTCTTTGGACATTGCTGCACCGGTGCCCACCAACAATGGAAACAGAACACAAATAGCTGCATATGGGGCTAGAGGACCAAACGAGACAAGCGCCACTACAAGAATGCATATATTTGCAAAGCACCACATCTTCCCACCATCTGTCATTGTTGCCCAATAGTTTCCCTTCAAAAATAGGACTAACATGATTCAAGTGGGCAAGAGACATATTGTCACCAAAATCCCTTCAGATGGAATAGTAATACATGGAGGAATGCTTTCATCAGACACGCTCGAGAAATTCTGTTAGACTCGGGTTATCTTAGACTTCAAACTCGTTAAGGCCAGGTTAATTAACTATGGTTGATGAGATCACTATCCAAGTACTAGCAATCTAGGTACTAAGATCATTCACGGAAGAGAGCATTCTTCTTACATTTAGTTAACTAATTTATCCATCAGACATATGGGCATATCTAAAAAAACAAATGTTAAGAGAATTTTAATGAGAGAACACTAGCATAGTCCGGAGTAGCATATGATATATCTTATGAATCAAGAGAAACATAAACAGGACAAGGAATCCTATGTTATTCGGTGGACTGAGCTGTCAATATATCCAAAACCATGTAACTGACATCTCCTCAATTCCTTACAAGTATTCCCATTTTGGCGCAAAACCACGAGATTTAAGCCTCCAAGTGTGCGAATCCTCGCCCTAGTTCTCAATTTTGCCTTGAACAAAATTGCGAGGAAATGCGAGGTCAAATCTGGTGATGAATCCTGTTTTGCATATACTAATGTCGTTATAGCACTGGTATTCCGGCAATTCCTGGTCCCAACTCCAAGAAATGCCTTCCTTGTTCGAGAAGCCATGGAATCTAGCTCCTATGGCATGTACTCCGTATGAAACGCTATGGAATAAGCATTTCACCGACCATCGATCGGCCGATCGGTTCCGTAACTTTGGACTTTTGGTTACCGTTTTCGGTCCTGTAATCCACTGCATGAAGAGAATGTAACTTTTCTTCGTGCTCCCACTTCTCCTTTGGCGGTTAACCCCTCATTTTTTTTACTCCATACAAAATAGTTTTCATTTTTTTGTAATACTGTTTGATTCATTCTTGATTTTTTTGTAAAAATTCTTATGTCTACATTATCTTAAATATATTACGAAATTCTAAAAGTTTATGAAATTATACTTTGGAGGTTTAATTTAATCACTGAGATTAGAAGTTTCTTAAATTTAAAAAAAATATAATGAATATCCAGCTATAATTTAGTACTTGTCAAAATATCACAATTTTTAATATTAAGGACCAAATAGACAGAATGTACCTTCGCAGTACATTACCATTAATTTTAATGATCTCATGACTATTTTTCAGATAATGTATGACCTAAAAGTTATTATCAGAAGATCAAGAATACCCCAGAGCAATTTTCTAGTTTTAACCTGCTCCAATATACACAATTACGAAATATTATTTGTATGTGTACTCGGCTTCTGTTGCCAGCTAAGCACCATGGGCCCACTGTGGCGTGGGAGCTTGTATGCTTTGCCCAATCAGCGAGCCCACTATTGGACACTCTCATACACTTGTTTGTAGGGTTGGTTGTAGCCACCCTATTGTCTGCCTGTTGAAGTCCCCATAGTTTGTAATCATATTGTTGGCGCCGACAATCGAAAGGCTTGATCTCAGTGGGCCCGGCCCGCTAGGCTGTAGCCTAACGGCCAAAAAGCCCAAATGTGTATTGTATAAATACTCCTTCCCGGGAGGAGAAAAGACACGTTCACTTTTACTAATAAGCTAATATACTTTCTCTACTTCGGCAACCAAAGGCACTCAATACTCGTCCGATACTCTTCTATCTAGTTTTCTAGGTCCTGGGTTCTAAAACTTATCACATATATAATGTCAATCATGTCAATAGATGATACTAAAAAATATTGTGAAATCTCTATATATATTGACACATTATCACATGTCAAATTTCTATTTTAGAAATATAGACATTGATGATGTAAATTACCTAACCAGGTAAACAGTACTAGACCGGGTCTAGGATTGTTTATTAGAATCAAGACAGTGAAAGGTAAAAACACACAAATTAACCGGGAGGACTGTATGTGGAAACACCTGTAGCCCAGTTGTTATTTAAATATAATAGAGTGAGCTTTTACACAAGGGTTTAGTGAAAAGAAATCGGATCCCTTCATTTGAGGATTACACAAGTATTTATAGGAAGCTAAATGGAACAAGACGCCGCACACCCGCGTCAGACCACGTTTTTGGGTGGCGCGAGGTGATTTCTTCTGTCTCCCAGTGGCTTGTCATCCAGTTAGGAAAGTGACTTTCTTGTCACGTAGTGTTTTGGACGGATTGCTCGAATATCTTCAATGATCCTTCATTGAATTTGGCGGCTAGAGTCCAACTTCATTTGGATTCTTCCATGCAGACACTTCCCAACCATGGAAATCTTAGCGATTAGGTTTACACGAAATGGATTTGTGGAGATTGGGGATGAACGAGCGAAGAAAAGTGGTTTGACCGGTAGACTACTCGAAGTATACCGATCAATTTTTATCATCGACCAATATATTACCATTGTCGTTTCGGTTTCCCATCCCAAACTTTCAACCTTGACCGGTCAAGTATTTGAATGTCTTTCCTTGGACCGGTACTGGGTGGAACACCCATCAGACATGAAGTTTCCATTTTAGTTCTTTTTTTGCCTTATTTGAAAATACTCATAATATTTTCGAGTATGGTTAGCGTTTCAGATAAAAAATAAAAAGGTAGATTAATTATAAAATTTTTAACACTACAGTGCTAAACGGGGAGCACCTCCCAAAATTGGATTTGTGTTTTGGAGGGATTTAGCTAGGAAATGCGGAGTCCTCTGCTCTTCTCTTTTTTTCTTGTTTCCATCTGCTGGAAATCGCCCAACCGAAGAAGCGTTACCTGCTGCTTCTGCTGGCTGCTCTGATCGGAATGGACTCCTCCTACGCTTCTTTATGGGAGAAAACTCGAATTCCTCAACCATCGTTTCAGAAACTAGCCGTGATTTCAATCTTCGAGAAACTCCGATCCGCTCCGCCGCACCTCGGACCCGACTCCCTCCCTGGAACGGAAGCCATCACTCAGTGCCTCCACTCCGCCTCTCCCGCCGTCCTTGACCAGTCGGTCCGGGAACTATGCCGACTCGTCAGGGACTCCAAGCTGGACCTCTCTCGAGGGTTACTAGAGCTCCAGTCTGCCCTCGAAGCCACTGCTTCTCGCTTCGTCACTCTCTTCGTCAAAGGTTTAGGATTTCTTGTCTTGTTAGGTTTTCGGAACAATTCTCATTCATTTCATTTCAATGCGCCAGAGACGCATCCGTTTGTCATGGTACGCCATAGCTGTGATCTTACCAATTGCCATTTTTAGATTCTATATATGAGTAGCATATGTAGCTCACATTTTGATTGTAATGTATGCCTTATTGGATGTCAGATACTTTCTTCACGAAAAGAGGTACATCCCGAGCTTGTGCGCCAGGTGCTCATTCTGTTATCAGAGGGTAAACAACGCCGGATGTTAGAAGCTTGTCAGTTCTTAACACCTTTTCTGAATTATGCGATTGTGCGGGCGTCTTCTGCTGCTTCTCTGGCTTTCTTTGTTAGAAATCTGGTGTCATCTATAGCATCATTATGCTGTTCGCTTTCTCAAGAGGCTGTCCCTATTATCAAGCTACTAATTGGACGGATTAAATACTTTCCCTGTAGGAATGAGGATGTAAGTGGACTTCTTTTGTGAAGTAAGTGAAATAATCTATTATGGCATGAATTATCATTTCTATTTTCTAAGGCTCTACTCTTTATAAAGTTTTCATCGTGAGCTTATTTTTGCAGGACTTAACAGAGATTTTTTATTTAGTCGAATGCATAGTGGATGCATGGTCTATGGTCTTGAGGCAACTAGTTAGAATGGGATTGGTATTCCACTACAATAACTACTCAGTATTACTTTTTGTTCCATTCTTCATGAGCTTTGTTCTCTCTTCAAGTTTTACATATGCCTCTATTGAATGTTGGTTTCATTGCCATTGATTTTATCTAATGCAGTTCTTATATTAACTTCTAACAGCATGTTCACGAAGCTCAATTATGCAGTGTGGAACTACTGGACGCGATTTTCTCATTGCATGATGATCTTCTCCAGCCAGCAGGTTCCCTTGAGTACATTTTAGAGATATCAAGGCGTTTATTGGATGTGCAGAAAGATCTTGGATTAAGTTTTTTGCCCGAGCTATCATCAGCAATACCATTCTTAATTATAAGACTTGTCTATTCAGAGCTTGAACATGAACAACTCTCTGCAGTGAAACTGCTTTCCTTCATATTTAGTTGGAAAAATGGCAGTGGTATTGTTACTGCACATCTATTAGTATCCCATCTTCATTTCATTTACAAGCCTGGGTTTTCTTTCTTTCAGTATGGATTCTGCTCCTGGCCCTCCTTACATTGTGATCTTAACCCACTTTTTGCAGGCAAAACTGGTCATAGATCTCCATGCATATTACATGAAGAACTTTTATGCATATTTCCTGTCATCAACCTTGTACACTCTCCATCAAAATCAGTAAAGCAAGAAGCCATCAAATTGCTTTCTGTTTTAAGAAAGCTTTCAATTGATTCATTTGTTCTATCAAGTACAGTTGTATCAAATGAATGGAAGCTTCCCTCCATCAGTACAGCTGCACACTTTGCTCTCAGGCTACTACAGAATCTGTGGCTTCAGGTTTAATTTTGTTGTTATGAGTTAAAATGTACCCTGTATGTGGCTTCTGGTGCTATTTTATGTTTTTTTGGGTGTGTGAGGAATCAATTATCTAAGAAAGAAAATTTCTTAGATAATGATTTCTAAAATGATTTCTGCAAAAACTCAGGACCAAGCTTCATTACCTAGCCATTTCTATCTAAATGTTGCTCCTGTTGATGAATCATCCACAAACAAGAAGAATATCGCAAAGTCATGGGCATCTATGTTGAATGAGTACATGATGCTGATAATTTCAAGAAGAAAGTCTCCTTTATCAATATCTGGATCCCATGAAAAACTTCTTACTGGTAATCTGTTAACTTGGCTGAAATTCAGTTGTATATGCTTTCACATTTGCTGATTAAACGTAATTAATGGTCAGCTGCAACTACTGCATTCATGCAGAAATGCCCTCATTACTCAGTGGGATCACATGTGTACTCCTCTTGCATCGAACTCTTGGACAGTCTGCTGTAGATTTATTGGCTGCATGCAGCCAAGTGGACCCAAAACTTGGGATGCCATTGTGGCTAGTCATGCTTTTTTACACACATATGTTTTCTGAAAAGGATATTAGTTCCCCTGCCTTGCCGGTAACTTCATTGATTTAACTAAAACTTTTATCACTGGAGAGCTTCATCCCAAAACTTTGAAAAAAAATTCCCTCCTCCATATGAACTTTGTTGTTACTATTCAAATGTCAAACTATATAAGGAGCATTTTTACATTCAGTGATCATTTATTAAAATAACATAGTGATGTCATCTCTTATTTTTTAGAACTTTTGATGTACTCCTTCCGTTTAAAAAAACTTTCCTTCATGATTTACGATGTTTGAGTGCAGTTATTTTCAATTCAATTTATTTCAAAATTGACGTGGAATTGAAAAAATAAAATTTATAGATTTAAAAACTACGTCAAAAGTTATACTCCCTCCGGCTCTTAAAGCCTTTCCTGTTTGGAAAAAGGTGCGTCTTAGAAATGTGTAATTTTGGTTTTATTTTTAAATTTTACCCTTACTTTATAACAAGGTAGGATATGATGTTTAGGATAGATGAATCATAATTATAAAATAACATCAAAATGACATATTATTAAGGTGCGCTGTTTTTCAAACAGAAAAAGTTATTTGGGACGGAGGGAGTACGAAATCGGGGGTGACATGACTATTCTATTTTCTCAAATGAGTAATGAAAATAGGCAAAGAAAGAGGATAAAGTTTGACCTTGTGAATAGTAACCGTGAAGGTTTTTTATGGGAGGGAGGGAGTAGTTTTTTGTTATATATTTTTTTATTTAAATTTTTACACCAATATTTAAATAAAATTAATTGAAAATAACATACTCAAGCATTAGTATGCGTGTCTCAAGTTAATTCGTAGACAGAGAGAGTGTAGTTTTATTCTGATTTTTGTTACTCCTATTACATTTTCTCCGTATGGCACAACTGCTGCAGTTAAAACTCTTGGGCATGCTACCATCGCTTGCTTCACATTCTGCAATGTTGCCTCTAGTCATTCAAACAATTTTACCGATGCTTCAAAAGGAGGCTCAACCGTAAGTTCTTTAGAGGAGGTTTTAGTCCTATTTCTCTCATGTTACATGCACCTTGTCCTTGTAATAAGTATCATTGCTCATTTGCAAATGTCTTCATGGTTCACTATGCTTTTTTCATGATTATATATATATATATATATATATATATATATATATATATATGTAGAGAGAGAGGGTATCATGAATATATTTTGTTTGCTTTCATTTCATAGATTAATCTTAACATGTTGCAATGTTTCTCCTTGACCTGTTGGTTTAAAGTTAAGCCGCTCTTCATTTTTCTGTGACAAATTAGCATTTGATTTTCTCGAATATGCATATCTCTAATAAAAGTTGAGGTATTACTTTTAAAAAATTTCATAAATATGTGCATAAAAAGCCTAAAAAGAATTTTATTTCTTCTAGTGTTTTGTATGCTTCTGCAATGCGTTTGATCTGTAAGGCATGGGAGTGCAACGATCGCGTCTTTGGAAGTTTACAGGTAAATATGTTTTACATAAGGAATCATTTAGTTGCTACTGGAATTCAAATGACACCATTGTTGTTCTATCTCTGTTTGGATTGTAGGGAGTATTACTCGCAAAAAAATTTACAGAGTTTGCATGTGAGAGAGAGATCTGTATTAGCATGGCTCTTTCCATTCGTAACGTATGTAGAAAGGACCCTGATAGAGGTGTTGACCTTATCTTGTCTGTGGAGGTATGTTTTTCTAATTGTTTGTCAATTTCCTGCTTTGGATTCCAAGCTCTCTAATGTATTTATAATAACAGGCTTGCATTGAGCATCAAGATTGTCTTATTCAGTCACTTGGTCTTGAGAGCCTTGCCCATCTTTGTGAAGCAGATGTAGTAGGTAGTGCTATGTATGAAATACAGAGTATTTTTTACTTAATAAGTCAGTACTCAATAGCATTATCTAAAAACATCATGATGCTTTTAGAAAAGTTATTGAAGAATCCCTTCCATCCTATATATAATGCCAGCTTAAAGGCTTAACATCCATTTGATATTTTCTATCAACCAATGAATAAGAGTTGGAAAATCTTCTGTTAATGGCTCTTAGAAAAAGGCATCTAATCCTTCTTTATGCCGATTCTCCTTTCTTTTAATGGGATTTACGCCGTGTGATCTTATTGATTTTGATCTGATTGGATTTGATTTGATCATTTTGATGTGATTGAATCTGATCTGATTTTAATAAGAATAAGTAGTAAGCAGGAAAAATAAGTTAAACGGAACACAACCTTACATGCTACTATTAAATTTTCTGCTTGATCCACTTTTATTACGGAGTAGTCTTTTCTAGTAAGTAGTACTAAATGAAGAGAGAGCTTCTACATTTTGTCCAGATTTTTATACAGCTTGGGATGCGATAGCAAAACATGTGCTAAACTACTTCGGAAATGCCACGGTTGCTTGTAGGTAAAAATTGAAGTTCTTATAAGGTGAATGCACCACCGTTTTTTCATCATAGCACACTTCAATGTACATTCAAAACATGCTTGCATAATATTTTATGCTCTCATGAGATTTTGAAAGAGTATGGACATTTGTCCATGTTTGCGTGCCTTGAAGGTACTAAATTGTTCATGCTTCTACATATTAGCTTACATTATTGTTAATATTTTACTATTCTCTACCCCGAAGTCCACGCAGAATTACTGACCCTTTTTTTGACAATTTGCTCTTGTGTGAGATCTTAAGCTTTGATCAGTCCATGGTGACACAGTGTAATTTTACACTTTACCATTGCTTACCTGAAATTAAAACTATACTGAAGTTCCTTGTTTCTCATAAATGACCAGTCTTTGTCATCTCTTAAGATGGGGTGCACTGGATTCCGAATCATATCCTGAACCTGCTCTTGGAGTTGTTAAATTATTGTGGGAAATTGGGAACTCTAAAATTGTTGGTGTTGGATGGATGAAAGCTCGAGCATCTGCCTTTGTGGCATTAACTCATTATGAGGTATGCTTTAATGGAAAGCTATTTACTCTTTTCCCCTCAGTAATGTTTCATACTTTCATGTCTGGATACACTATAGGCTTATATGTTGTATTTTTTCGTGGGATTTAATTGGGTTGTTGTATTTTTTTACAACGTCCAGTGTAATCTATGCTAGCTACTTAGCGTTTAGACTATGCTCCACATTTTCTCAGGTAGGGCAATTTCAGAGAAGCATTCCAAAATTTAATGATAGGAATTTGGAGTTCCTTACATCTGAGGTTGATCTGGACGTATTGAAAGCATTAAAAGGATTTGAAGTCAAAATTATAAGACATGAGCACATGTGAGTTTTTTTCATGTCTTTCAGATTTTATAAATTTGCTGAAGATGCTAACTTTAAGTTTCATCGCCCAGTACGCGTAGAAGACTGGTGAAGCAGAAAAAACTGCCAAAAGGAAAGATTGAAAAGTTAATTGATGTTTTCCCTAAGGTCATGATTACTTCAGGTAGACATTCTATATTGTATATTCTAGGAATATGAAATCATTGATATGTGCAGGCATTTAAGGATTGCTGCATATAATTCTCAGTGTTTCACGTTAGCATTTCATATGCAGGAAGTGACAGAGTACCTAGAGAACTGCCTGGTGCAGCACTCTTTTGCCTTTCTTTCAATCATGAAGGCTTGAATTTTCCAAGAACACCAGAAGTAAGATATAATGCACCAGACTACCATCAAATCCATATCTTGAGGTTTTGCCATGATTCCTTTTTTTCCTGCTAGAAGGCATTGCAAGATGTACAAGATAAATACAAGAATGCCGTAGTTGAAATAGTCGACTCTCTTCAGCTCTCAAGGAATGTTTTGATTGCTCTACTGGCATTGCAATCTTGGAAACCATTCATGCGAAGATGGCTAAGGGCTCGCCTCATATTACTAGATACTAAGGTGCATTCGACTGTGTCAGATAGAACTTCCATTGCTGCTAAAGAAATTTTGAAGGTTGAATATGTCTCTTTTAAAGTGCCAATGGTGCATTAGTTTTTATTCTTCCAGAACTGATGTATCTTTCTGTTTGTGAACTTGCAGAATTTGATAGAAGTTGGCAAAAAATCTCCTCCCAGATCTGCTGAGAATATTGGGTTAGCAATTGGGGCTCTTTGTTCGGTGAGAATATGTTCTATTACAATTTGCATTGGAATTCTGACATCCATTTGCATTTCTACAATAGATAATGATCCCCTTTCTATTTATCTCATTTTCTTATTACACTGCTACTTCTAGGTACTCCCATTATCCGACCATGTTATTAAATCAACTGCGTCAAAATTTTTGCTGGGATGGCTGTTCCAACATGAGCATGAGTATCGACAATGGTCTGCTGCTATTTCTCTTGGGTTGATATCAAGTTGCCTGCATGTGACCGATCACAAGCTGAAAATAGAATATATTAATGCACTTCTTGAGGTTGGAAATCTATTAACTTACCTGCTGACTATTTTGCTCTCTATTTTTTTTCTTAAACAACAGTTTTACAGGTGTTATCCATGAGCAAAAGCATCCTTGTGAAAGGAGCATGTGGGGTTGGGTTGGGGTTTTCATGTCAAGATCTTCTTACCAAGAGTGAAGCTGAAGATAGTTCTCATCTGGGTAGAGGAACACTCAGAGCAGAAGAAGTGAAATTGTTGAAAAAGATTATTGGGAGCTTATCCCAACTGATAAGTCCATTAACTCATTCATCAGTTGATTTTCTGAAAAATGCATTTTCATGGCTTCAACTTGGATCAGATGATTTTGATTCAAATGTTACTCCCAAGGTTCTTGAACAAAGCAGTGACAGTTTTAAGGATGATGTATGGGGTACTGCAGGGCTCATATTGGGCTTAGGCAGTTCTGCTGGTGCAATCTATAGAGCAGGTGGTTATGATGCAGTTCTCAATCTGAAAAGCTTGCTTCTGTCTTGGATTCCCAACTTGAATCCTTCCGTTCCTTTTTCTGCTGCAAGTGCAGAATGTGAGCTTATGTTATCAACAGGTGCTTGCCTTGCAGCACCTATGGTAATGGTGTTCTGTCACAGAGTAGAGCTTATAGATGGTACTCAGATGGAGCAGCTAGTGGGTTGCTACAAGAAACTTATTTCTCAGCTAGTCCCTGTTCAGAGGTTTAGCACTCTTCATCAGAGCTTGTTGTTGGCATCTTGTGTTGGAGCTGGGAGCCTTCTTGGTGCCATTTCGAATGGAAGTTTGCATGCTTTGAAAGTTGAACTTGTTAAAGATTTGCTGGACTTATTCAGGAAGAGCTACTCAAATCCCAACCATCCTTTAGTTCACTTGGGTGCTGTCATTGGGGCTGTAAATGCATTAGGGGCTGGTGCAAAATTACTGATTCCAGATCACCCTTCTTGCTCATTATATGTTATCGATGATCAAAAGGTAAACCAACCAATCCAAATCAAACCTACCCCGTTTATCTTACTCATGAAGTCAAGAGTAGGGTCTGGAGAGACAGGATTTAGGTAAACCTTACTTCCACTGGGAGTAGAGAGGCTTTTTCTGTGAGAGACTGGATAAATGGTAACAGTGGGAAAAAACACAGCCAGCCTAGTCTGATCTCCAAATCCCAACACCACTTGCAAAATCCCTACAAGGACTCTACAAGACCAAACATCAGTGTTCATGTGCTCGGAGAGGTTTAACCTTTAAAGGCACTGGGTTCAACCTCGTTTGTTCATCCCATGTCTTACTGCACTTGCCTCTCCTACTGGTCACCTCAACCAACATGATCTCTACTTTGCTCTCTGTTGTTTCTCTACAACCAATGTGATCAATCCATCGTAGTGTCTTTTCTTACTTTGTTAGCAATAAACACTGCCTCTATCTATGACTAAAAGACCTCATTCTGTATTCTGTTTCACATGGTATGCCCACAAATACACCACAACATTCTAATTTTTGCAACTTCTGACTTCCACTCACATAGCGTTTTAATCGCCCAACACTTCAACCTGTACATTATAGCAGCCAAATGTCAAAATGGCATCCCAACAGAATCTGCCATTGAATCTCAGCATGGCTTTGTCAGTTGTCACATAGCACCCTTGAAAGCTCAAATAGTTAAATCTCAATTATAGTAATTACATCTGAAGAAGGAAATGAATGGAAAGTGAGAAGTTGGCGATGGAAAGTCCAGCAACTTTATTATACAAAATAGAGCATAAATAGTTTAATACATTTTTTAAAATCCTTCAAACCATCTTGTGAATAGGCATACCTGCCTTGGATCAATTTAAATTTTTATCAATGTATTCAAATGCTTTACTCCGGGTATTTTTTAAGGCTGTTATGATTAATTGGAATTTAGGGAGTGGGGGTTCCGGTGTGTGAGGTTCTAGTGGGTTGTTGCATTACCTCTTCATTGTGTAGGAGGGTATACATTCCCCTCTTCTGCAGTAGTAGAATTGAATGTTGCATTTCTTCCTCTAAACAGTGCTCTTAGAATGAGTACACTCATGCAATAATGGATTTATATATATATTTTTTGTCATAAATCTTTATCTAGCAGGAGTCTCCGTTCATCAATGGTCCATTACTTTCAAATCCAGCCTTGGAGCCTTATTTGACATCAATGGTGCAAGAGATTTTTCTTTTAGCACAAAACTCTGATACTGATCAACTGAAACAGTATGCTGCATGGGCGGTTTCCTTTCTTTGGCATTCATTACATTTCCAAGAGCCACATAATAAGGAAACTACAGTTGGTGATGAAGACATCAAGAATGTCTCACACTCTTTTCCTGAGGACAGCACAGTTTTGAGGCTATCTTTGTGGCTAAAGAATCTGCAGTACACTGGGGTAAGTTATTTTGAAATTTATCACTTCTTTTAAGCCCTGTCATTAATGAAAGAACTATTATAACAATTCTTTAGTTGGGTGTCTAAGAATCTTAAAGCCTTCCATCTTTATATGACATTTCACTCTCAGATTCCTTCATTTTGTCACTCCTTTTAAGCAGTGTAATTCATGAAGAAACTACTGTAACAATTCTTTGAGTTGGGTGTCTTAAACCTTAAAATGCCTTCCATCCTTACATGATGTTTCACTATCAGATTCCTTCTTTTTCCATGTTTCAGAGAGGCAAAGTTGTACATGTTAACACTGTTGCAATGGTTATGCACTGTCTTGCACATGCCCCCAGATTGCCATCATTAGATTGGGGAATAATCATCAGAAGATGCATGCAATACGAGGGTGAAGTTGCTGAAATGTTGTTCCAAGATGTAACCTTTGAGAAAGGACTTCTGAGAGAGGAATGCCTACTTTTCTCTCTATCCCATGCAAACCAATTTGATCAAATCCTTATCTTTCTTGACGAACTTTGCGACCTTGCCAGGATGAGGGCACTTGAACCAACTCTGCAGTCATGCATACTAGTGTACCTGGCTGATCTGTCTAAGATATTCTCTGGCTCTCGGGTTTTGAAACTGTTCAATGATTTGGCTAACTTCTTATCTTGGTTAGTTTCATCTGGACAATTGAGTCCTGATCAGAAAAGCTCATTAAGGTCGTCATGCTGGAGAGGCCTGAATAAGTGTTTGGAGGAATCTTCTCTTGACACACTAAGTTACAAGTCTGAAATAGAAAACTGTATGGAAATTCTATTCCATGCATTACCCCAGTTTCCCAACGTTGGCTCTAAACAACTGTCTCAGGCAAATATCTCTGGAGAATGGTCTGAAGCGATTCGATGCCTTGCGAAGTCTCAACAAGGATGGCTATTGAATCTTTTACAGGTTCTGATACCTTTTTCATTTTCTTCTTCTTTGCCCTCATGAGTTTATATACAGAGTGCATGCTATTTGCTGCTGAAAATTTGAATAATTTTTAAGCCATTTCTCTGTGGCCACATATTGGATGCCAACTGTTTGGTTTCTCTTGGATTCTTTCAAAATTGGAAGTATTGCACTTATGCATGTCAATGGGAGACAGTTCCCTTAGCGTTTGCTGTATAATGGCGTCGATGGTGATGATTACATTTAGTAATTTAGAGAGAATAAGAAGTTACTTTGGCTCCAATTTCAGATACATATGATATTGGTTTTGGTTTCCATTTTCTTCACAGATTCCAGAGGTGAGTCATAATGAGGCAAATGATCACTCTGAAACTGTGAAAAAGATCCTAGTGAAATCAAGATTAGTTCAAACTGGCTCCATCTCATTGAGTGAACTCGGAAAACTACAATCTTATATGTTGAACCACAGATGTGAAGGTGAGTTCCTTGATTCTAAGTTTTACTCACTAACATTGGGGTTGAAATTTCTCTAAGTTACAATGCTCCCTCACCTATTGGTTACAAATCTCCCCATGCAGTTATCTGGGATGCTCTACTAGGCATTATAGAGACTTTGCAGTACATTGATGGGAGTGCTAAGAGGCAATGGCTTGTTAATGCAATGCAAATTAGCTGTGTTTCACGTTTTCCTTCCACGGTAGGAGTTTCTGATTTCGTGCTTCATAGGTCTTCAAGACCATACTTCCTCTCGCTCAACAGAGTCTAAATCCCCCCGTGCTCTATATCCTAACCATGGACCATTTTATACAGTAGAAGAAAATCACATAATGTGGGATTGATTGAATCTTGGAAAAGGAATGGAGACTGGAGTGAACTTATATCACTCCCTCTGTCCCATTCACTCTCCTTTTTACTATCTCCCAAAACTATTGTTCACTTTCTTAATTTTACCATTGCTACTGTTTTACTTTTCCATCTTGGTGAATCATTTAACTATTAACTTGTTGAGTTGTATTCACCCAAGGGTAAACATGGAAAGAAATAACATCACATTTGCCTTCTTAAAAATTGTCCCGAACATATTTGCATTAATCAAATTGGGACAAGGGAGTATAATTTGAGTAATTTGATTGAAGATAAGTAATGAAGATCTCTTCGGATTGCGGAAGGAAGAAAATGGTGTGGATTGCAATTTTAAGTCTTAACATGATTAGAGATCAGATATGGAGTTCCATTCTAGCACGATCCTACGCATAAGCAACAGAGTTTTGAATGTTGATTATTAGACCGTGTTTCATTGTGCAGGCATTGGGGTTCATTGGCCTGCTATGTGGAAGCTGTTGCAGATACATGCCTGTTTTAGTTGTAGACCAAATGGCTGTGTTGAGTGACCTTCCCATCACATTGACATCCCTTCTCTTGGACAGCCAATGGGCAGTGGTAGCAGAATCTGTTGTTTCCCACATTTGGTCATTAACCATTCGAGTCCATGAGTGGGCAAAATGCATAGCTGACGGTATGTGTTCGGTTAAACAACCCCCTATTGACAACAGTGAAAATGGCATGGCTACTTTCCTCTTCCGGGTATTGCACCATTCCTGTGTTTCTCTTAAACAATATCTATCACCTGACGAGCAACTAGAACTGGCGAACATGGAGTCAACAAATCTGTAAGAGATCATAAATGGGGTTCTTTCTCATAGAATTGTTAGTCTTTTAACATAAGCTGTACAAATCCCACCACTTCCGCCCTTGGATTAGATTCTGACTTCCGATGAAAAATGAGTGCGACTTCCATTGATTGTTCTATCTTTTTTTTGGATGTACAAACTGCAAAGGGAGCTGCGCTTTTATTCTCCCAAGAAACTAAATTCTGATTGTAAAGCAATGTCCAGCTTTTTATTCCAAAGCTTTTTGTGTTTTTAATGCTGTGAAAGTAGGAGCAACACTGCCTTCAACAGATTGTTTTAAAAATATTCTGTACTGTATATCATTTGCCTTGAAAAGATGTACTCATGTTTGCTACAGGAGTTTGAAAAGTTGTTTGTATATTACTCCCTTCGTTCTATATGTTTCTTTTCATTTTTACTTTTGTGTCAATGTTCTTAGACTTTTATTACAAATGACGAAAAAATATAATGAATTGTTATGTAAATTTTAAATATCTTCCTTCGCGGAACATTTGTCCTGTACTCTTTTTTGGACTGTTCCAGAGTTTTGTCCAATTTTGTTTCAAGGAAACATAAAAGATGTGAAAAGTCTATTATGCCCCCATTGTCTTCCTACCCAACCTTTCATTTTGCTACAGGCGACGCATTCAAGAAAAGGCAGAAACTTAAGACTTCTTTTCATCTTCTCCATTCAAAGAGATTAGAAGCTTTGGACATATTCGTCCACGGGAAGAGATTCAATTCAAGATTCAGCCCCCTCTCACATTTCTTCTCTTTTCCTTGGATATTCAATTCAATAAAAGAGGGGAGTCAAATTTAAACAGTCAATGGGCACATCAACTTCTACTTCCTACGAATGAATTTAAAATATCAAAAAAGAGAGAAGTGTAAAACGTGTGCATCACCTGGATCCACTGTTGTATGTTTTCGACTTCACCATACGCTCCAGACGAGCGTCCCAGTCGTTCTCGCCTGTAGTTCCACCGTGGGAGACTAGGCGGCAGATGGATGGAAGAGGAAGTGGGGCTGGAATGTGCGGCGGCCGGTTGGGGGTAGGACTGGTGAATGGTGATGGAGGACATCTAAAATAAAGGTATTTGTGACTTTTTACACATCACATTCCTATGTAGGTGACATAATAAAAGTAGACAAACACTCGGAGACATAAGGAACATAAGGGACTAAAGGGAGTATCATGATAATGAAGAAACATTTCTCAGGCCCCAATGTGCAACACGACATCATAAGAACAGGCAGTTTCTTTTGAATAAAACCAGTTTCACAGAAATATTGAGCTTGCCACGGCCCAAAAAAAGGGTTTACTAAAATTATTGTAAACCTTTTACAAAAAAAGGTTTACAAAAATATTTTCAACTTATTGTTTGAAAACTTTGGTTCCAAAAATTGGGTTTTCAAGTTTTTTGGAGCAGCTGTTTAGAGTTTTTTTGAAGCAGCTGCTTTTCAAGCTTGGGTTATAAAAGCTGATCATTCTAACTTTTTGAAACAAGAAAAAAAGTCACAAATACCCTATCCTGCTGTCCCCAGCTTGCTGCTGCACAAAATATACTTTCATCCAACCCAAAAAGGAATATTGGGCGATTACTCTGAGACGAGGGGAATATCAACACTAACAATATGTTTGGTTCAAAGAATTTGAAAAGAAAAAGAAAATAAATTGAGATGAAAAATAAATTCTCTTGTTTGGTTGGAGAGGGAAAAAAAGAAATTAGATGGAAAATGAAATGAAAATGCAAAATATACTAAAAGGAGTTAATCAAATTCATCTCATTTTGATGAGGAAAATGAGAGAAACTAATTTTCTTTTCTTTTCCTTCTTAATTCCTCGAACCAAACATAATGTAAGGTAGTGTTTGGCAACTAGTATTTCATTTCAATTCATGCATTTCAATTCCAAAATTTGAAACCATGAATTTCAAATAACAAGGGAAGGTGCATGGATTTCAAATTAAGCTTTGTTTTGAATGTAAAGAATTTGATTCAAATCCAAATTCAAAATGCTTAAGTTTCCCAAACATGGAATTTAAGCCAAATCCAAATTTGAAATCCAAATCCATGTTCCCAAACATACCATAAGGGAATTTGAGAACCAATTCTTTGGGGTTGAAAAACACCGGTTAAACCAGGAATTTCCCTCTTTACAGTCTGCATTATATGACACAATAGCAGAATTATTACCATTGTTTAAATGACCTGCATTTTTATAAATGCAGCTCGCTGTACAACTTCTCACAATTAGGTCCAACCTCACACCAATTCTTTCTTACCAGACATCATGGAAGTGGACTTGGAATCTTCACCCACAAGTAAATCCTCCTGCCCATTCTCGGTGTGTCTTTTCCTTTCATTTTCACAACTCCCAGTAACATTCTCTTTCTGTAAACTTGTGGTGGAAGCATCTAATGCAAGAGGATGAAAACCGGGATCTGAAGACAGTGAACGAGCAGTAGACGCTCCCTCATCAATACCACCATCTTTTAGAGACTTGTTTGCTGGCAACCACTTAAATTGCAAAGTATGGCCTTGACAGCTTTTGCCGTTCATAAATGCCTTTTCTGCAGAACGGCGTGATACGAAAGATATACGAGCATATGATATAGATGTTCCCAATTCATTTTGATTCTCCCCACCTTCTAATTCCACAGACGAAAGTTCACCAAAAGAACAAAAGTGTTCCTTCAGAACATCAACCTATAAAACAGAAAGGACTGCGGATTAAGGCCATCTTCTGTTACAATAAATGTTCAAGTGTAAATAAAGTCACATAAAGTAACAGTTAATGGGTAATAGATATAAAGAGATTGCACAAGATTAAAGTATGAGAAGTGTTGATATGGGGAAATAAATATTGATGAACATAAATAAAATGCATTTTTTTTGCTAACCCCGCACCCCACATAAAACATTGAGGTGGGGAAATAAATATTGATGAACATGAACACTACAAATATGTTGAAAATGTAGAAAAAAACAGCAGAATCAGTTCAAAGTCTAGAAGGGTTTGAAGAAAAATTACATTTGCCAGAGCATTTGGAATAGGCGGGTTGATTTTGAATGCAGTAGGACGGTTGTCCAATTTGAATCTATTGTAGAAGTTGTATGGTTCCCCCAAAGGCGCCAATGGACGAAATGATGGCTTAGAGATTAGAGGTTGTGGTGTTGCCAAAGTTGAAACAGAGTTTGAAAATGTGTTAACAGTACTGTTAGCAGAGCCATTGCTACCATCCACCACTGCTTCAGATGGTTGCGTCACTGAAACAGCATCAGGCAGAATGAAGTTCAGAGTCTTAGCTTTCAGTGATTCACTGACCCCTGTTTTTTGCCTCTTCGCAGCATGATCATCATCTTTGTGATCTATAGCCTGCACACAAATAAATATTGAAGATAAAATGACATGGTTCTTGATAACCATCTGCAGTTTTTTCCAAGCAATGAATGTCCACTAATTTTAATGGGTCAGTCAGATGTCAATTAAGGCCTTGTGCAATAGAGGCATTTTGGGCTGTTTATTTTGTACAAACAAAAACAGAACATGTCATAATTTTTTCATTGTCATCAAAATATTCATCAAAAACATCCAATTGAAACTTCATATTGAAAGATATACATTTTCCTAGAACATATACTTTTTTGGCACCTTTATTTATATAATTATAAAATCTACCTAATACAACAACAACCCAGTTAAATCCCACAAGAGTAGGGTCTCGGGAGGGTGTGTACGCGGACCTTACCCCTACTCAAAAGTAGAGAGACTGTTTCCAAAGAGACCCCCGGCTCAACGTCGAAAGTTGCATTGCTTGACTAACTGCTACTTCATTAATTAAAGAAGCGCAGACAGTTTAGAGATCCATTTTGATTTATTCCATCACACCCCAAAGCCAAAAAATGGTGAAATTTTGGCTCCATCGGAGATGATGGAATAAATCTACCTAATCTACTTTTAAAAAAATGGGCCTTCAATTTTATTGGGGAATAAATCTACCTAATCTACTTTTAAAAAAATGGGCCTTCAATTTTATTGGGCCTTGTGCCACTGCACCTATAAAATCATGTTTGGTCCAACACTGTTTCCCAAGATTGTTTTGAGTAATTGACTAAAACTGCATCCCACAAAGCTTTAAAGGAATTTTACTTGAAGATATAGGTACCTTTAAAAACTAGGTTGTTTTTGGGACAAAACATCCTGAAAAGGGACTCTTTTTTGGGATCTAGGGACCACCAGAGGGGGATTTGGGGGGGGGGGGGGAGATATTGTTGATGGGTGCAGCCAGTGATTAACATAGGGTGTTATAATCCTATTATGTGAAGGAGCAGTATGATTACTGAGCTGTGACTGACTCAGTGACGAATGTAATACCGCGAAATAAAATCCAAAACCAATTTGCATAGTACCTTCTTTGTGCCCCATAGATCTTCCCATTAGCCCTTTTTACTTATCCCAAATAGATCTTCTCATTACCTTTTTTAACATTTAAAATACCACAACTATCCCCAATTTATTTATTACACCTCACTCGCCTCATTTAATACACTCCACTCATTTACATTAAGGGTATTTTGGTAAACTTTCACCTTTTTTCAACTCTCCTTAAAAACTACAAAAAGTCAAAACGAGAAGATCTTAGGGGGACGGAAGGAGTATTAAAAACATTCAACCAACACCATAAACGTCATCTTATGCTGAAAACTAAATAGTGAAGTAACTAGCATTTACTTGTTTCTCAAATGTATCCAACTGCCGACGAAACTCATTACGTTTCAGATCAAGCATTTCCTGCTTTTTACGAAGTTCTTCTTTTAATAATTCTAAATTCTCCAGCTTCTTTCGCGAAAGTGGTGGGTCCTTTGCTTCATTACTAACAATGGATTTTTTATGATCAGAGACTGATGGAACAGCAAGAAAACTTCTAGGCACTGCAGATTGAACACTGTCCTTTCCTTTATATACATATGAGGGAGCTGAATCTGGTATCACCCCATTTTCCTGTCTTTGTGCTTTATAGCCATTACTCAGTATATGTTCTGGAATACAGTCCCGTTTAGCCCACTGAAGCATGATAAAACGGTTTCCCATCACAGCATCAGGAGCCTTTAAAGCTCTCTTGGCTTCTTCTCTGCTAGAAAACTGGACAAATGCTCGCCCTTTTCTTTTTGGGATATAAATGTTAATGATCTCTCCAAATTTTCTAAAATGCGCAAAAAGAGCTTCTGTTGTGTTGTCCTTTTGTGGAATGCCAGTAACAAAGAGCGTGTAAAGTGCCTTTTGGACACACTTTCTCATATTGCATTCCACATTACTTTGTGACTTAGAAAATGGATCTGTAATTTGTCGTCCAGTATTTTCAGTTTCACCGTTAAGAATCCTTGAAGCTTCTGTAATGGAATCAATATTCTGCACTGCTTCTACTTTATTTTTTGAAAAAATATTCTCCAATGCTTCTGCTTTATTTTTTGAATCAATATTCTCCACTGCTTGTTCTTTATTCTTTGAACAGTTGTTTCTTCCCTGATCAGATAGCCCAACCGAAAAATGATCAGTGAGCCCAACATCATCAACACTCAGTCCATTTGCTGCAAGGACTGCAGGTGATGTCTCAGGATCATCACTTCTCCATAAAGGCTGGTCAGGATCATAACCATCAGAGCCCCCAGGCAGAGAACATCCTAAAGGTTCCCCACTTAACTCTAACCCTTCATCCATTATTTCAGGCTTGATATGTAGAGCTCTACAATTGACAAATGAACCGGAAGGACAAGTTGCGGAAATAGCTCCTTGTCCAACTGTTCTCATCATGTGTGCAGAAGGAACCGAAACAGGGAGGTTTAACTTAGAAAGGCTCTGCAATAGAAGTAACTTGGTTGAGAAAGTACATACGGATTTACACACAAAAAGGACCTCATGACTGAAATCTACCAAAGAACAAAATCTTATCACTTGTCATAATGAAGCAAAGTTGACTGATTATATACTACCTTTTTAATGGAAGCACATCATTTAATATCTTACACCCACTGTTTTTATTTCTCGATAAGAATTAGTACCTATAACCAAAAAATTTTAAAAAAATGAAAGTGTTACCCTACCATTGCCCATATTATCACAGTTACCACTAGCGAGAACATGAGGCGGATGATGTGTTCTAACCCTGTCATGTAAGGCCAAAAACTCACGTGGAGCATTTAAAACTTATTTGAAAAGGCAATAGATGCTGTTTCAAGAGTGTGCAACATTGCATCATTAGATAGGTATATACCTGGACATCTTCAACAACAATTCGATTGACTCCATGTTCCATTGGGCACATGTCTCCTCGTAGGCAAAATCCACGTTCCTCAAAATCTCTGCATTTTTGCCGCGGAAATCCCATACCCATTGAGGGATTCAGTGGTAAACCACGGTGATGGAATATATCAAGGCCAACATTAGGGATATGAGGAACCATTCCAAACGTAGCCCAAGATGAAGTTTTTGCATCATGAACATTCGGCAATCCCTTTCCAGTTAAAAAACTAGGAACAGTGGATCCCTGTTGAATCAGTTGAGGTGCAATGTCGACTGACATCAATCTCAAATCATGTTGGGCCCAACCACCAATTTCCCTTCCTCTCCCTATACGTGATGATATTGTTCTTTGGTTTGCAACTTGGGATGCTCTGGAAAATGAGGGCACACCCCGTCTCTTGTCAAATCTCAATATGTGTTCCTTTTCTAAAGTGGCAGGATCAGTCTCCCTGTCAAAGTATCCATTATCAAAGGGCTTGTTCCATTTCCCCATCTCGGCAGATTGAAAATGGGTCTCCTTCCTACGGTGCTTGTGATTACGATCATCATCATCCTCTTCACTGATTTGTTTTTCTCCAGGATCACTGTCACTACTACTATTAGAAGGTGAAAAGGCTGGCCTTAGTGGTGAAATCTTGAGCTCCATTAGTAGCAATTGTCAATTCAGCAATAAGTGCACAGCCTGAAAGGCAAATTTCACAGACGAATCAGAAGACCAGAGAACGACGGAAGTAAGGCATTGCATAGGACGAATAACACTTCTCAACTTTTCCATTTCGGAGAAGAGATTACACGTGTGCCTAAGTGCATAGAATGAATGTAGTGAACAATTAAACACAGACTACTCAAACAATGGAGATTAGTCGAATGATAATACTGCTTCCAGGTACACTCTCTAATCATATAGAGCCTTTTATAATTTCAAAATTAGTGAAGTTTCATTTCTCAACTTGCCAGGGAAGATCAAATAATAGATTTGCCTTTTAAACCACGATGAAGAAGGTAGGCGCCAAACCTGAAGAGAAATGTCGTGGCGAACAGCCGGAATATGTGAATGATAAGCTCAACCGGATACAAGCTCAAATGCCTCAGAGACGGCCTGGATGCACCTAGATATAACGGGAACACGCAGCGGAGTTTAGAGCGAAGCCTTTTCCGGAAGGAGAAAGATGCAAACAAGAGTAGCTGAGTTAAGGACGCCGGAGTGTTGTTCGGTGGGGAAGTCGTCAAATCCGGTGGTGACGGGCGGGCCGCAGATGAACGGAGCGAGTCCGAGCCTAGATCCTATGTGGCTAGGGTTGGTTCTTCAGGTCTTTTTTGTTTGTTTGTATTCTTCCCCTTTAATGGACCAAATCTATGCCCGGTTATGGCCCATGTGTCTGCTATGCCAGCTTATAAATCCCATTTGAACTTTAACTTTTTACTCGTAATAAAACTTGAGGTCCTTCAACATGTACACTTCTTTGTATCTAGGCAAATAGAGACACGTGTCTCCCATATATGTGTTTGTGTTTATGGTTGATGTGTATTAAATTCTAAGGAAAATGTTAGAGGTAAATTAGTAGTTTTAGCGTAACTCAAGTGTACACTACACTCCCTCCACCACACAAATTTGAGTGTGAATAAAAAAAATTAGAGAATAGATAAAGAATGTGTCATAAGAAGAGTAATAACGTATAAATGAGGTACACTTTTGTATACCCTTAGCATTACTCAATTTTAAGTGTGCGTGTCGATTTAATCAATAAAAAATTGAGGTTTATAAATTTGAGATGCAAGGTCGTGTTTTAAATTTATGACCATTAGCAACCTCAACTAGTGACATATCTAAATTTTGTTTAGGCGTTACGATGGAAGACGATGACCTATTATAGTCATTGTCTTAGAGTTATCGTCATTAACCGTGACACTACGAGATATTGCTAGAGGATAATTCTAGACGATTGACAATTTGATTGTGAAGAAGGTGAAATTTTGAGATTATCCGTGTTTGGTGGCACACATTCAAATCCTATACACTTGGATTGTACAAAATTTATATTTTTTTACAGTTGGTAATAACTCAATAAAATGTAATATATGGGCCCAATAATCCCAGAAGGCTCGGTGACTGATAACGAAACAATTGACTGTGAGTGAGAATGATTTATGAAAGCCAAGCAGCGGGACTGCGACTAGGCCGCAGTAAAGTGTAAACAACAATGATATCTTCCATGGCCAGAGCTTCTTCTGCGCTGTCGTCGTCCATAGCTCCCAAGAATCCATTAACAGTCTCTTCTACCTCGAAGCTACTCAATCAGTTTTCCTTCAGGAATCGCATCTCGTTACCTTATTCAGTCCCGTCAAATGGTAGCTTTCGGTGCTTCGCATCCCCAGCCGCCGGTATCGCTCCAATCGAAACCGAGAACAAAATTCGGGTCCAAAACCCTATTGTTGAAATGGACGGTACACTTTCCGATACCGAAATGATCTAGTGCTAGTAGTTGTATTGAATGTCTCCAATTTTTGATTTTTTTATTATTATTTATCGAATGGCTGCAGGTGATGAAATGACGAGAGTAATTTGGAGCATGATCAAGGAGAAGGTACGGACATTTATTAGACTAAAATGCTGTAGTTTTCAAGTTCGTTTTGCTTTGATTGTTTTTCAGGGTCCATTGATTCTTTGCTCATTGGGTGTTTTGTGTATCCTTGCAGCTGATATTTCCCCATCTAGAATTAGATATAAAGTATTATGATCTGGGAATACTGAACCGTGATGCCACCGATGACAAGGTTACTGTGGAAAGTGCTGAAGCTACTCTTAAGTAAGTCTGCCCATCACTTTTCTTTAGTTCATCTGGGGTGTTGAAACTGCAAACTCTCCCAAAGGTGCAATATATATAATGGTACGGAGTGTATAATATGGAGTTTTTTATTGACTGGCCGATTAGAGGAAATTGTACCTAACCTAAATAATACTTCATAAGTCTTCAGAACATGAATAATATATTATTCCATATAATTTGAGCCCTATCTCTTGTATAATGTAGGTATAATGTTGCTATCAAATGTGCAACAATTACTCCAGGTCAGTACCCATTTCATGTTTTATATTTGTTTTTAGCTATATGCGATACGAAGTATGTACGGAGCATAAAAAAGAAATTGCTATACATCACTGGAATTTGCTGATGATGAGGAAAATGTTGCATACACTTCACTGGAATTTAGAAACTATTGCGGCATATCTTTCAGGATGCAATTTTGACAATTCATTGCGTAGATTAGGTGGCGTTCTGTTGCAGGATTTGATTATTAGATGTCGGCTGAACTTTTTTCCTTCTTTGTGAACTCACTCCTGCTGCTTTAGATGAGACCAGGGTCAAGGAATTTGGACTGAAGTCTATGTGGAGGAGTCCCAATGGCACAATAAGAAACATTTTGAATGGTATGTCTCCAATTTCTAGGATTCCACATTGTTGCATTTAGAAACTCTTGAGGCATATCTGATGGGCCGCATGTTGAGCTTGGAACCTGGGCCTATGCTCTATGGGCTTGGATCAAGAAACCAAGGTCCACTAGGCGACTGAGAACGGGAGTGGGGCCTAGAATACTCCTGGCACCGGGACCAAGATCGGCCTTGGCATGCCGAGGCTAACATTGGCCTCTGCGAGCAGTTCATGAGCTCGGCCTCACCAGCATACTCTGCACACCAGCTCAACAAGTCCAGGGCCCCAGCCCGTTCAGGTGTCTTCCCACTTAAGCTAGGTTTAGTTATTTAGAGTGGTAGTATGCCATACCACCTTTGAGCCCGACCCAGCTCCATGAGTCAGCCCAGCCTGTCCATGTGACATGTATATGAACCTATATATACCCCCTTCAATGTGTTGAATCAGATGTCAAAGCCTTCAAGCAATTGGATTGAGCTTTTTCTCTTTTAGCTCTCTCTTTTTACGGATCCTAGATCCATCAATGTCTATGACTCTTGTGTGACATTGTAAATCTTAATATCAAATCTATTAAGCCTGTGATATCATAGATTCCTGTCTACTGGAAAGATTTGAGAAGAGTATACCTCCACACCAAACATTAAGTTCAAGTAACCAAAATCTGAGGAAAAATTCATTCTACAATCTGCTAATTACATGTTTCTGACTTTATTCTTTTGAGATTGTCTTTGTTTATAAATACTTTGTTTCAAATATGTTTTTTACTTTCTTCAGGTACTGTTTTCCGAGAGCCTATCCTTTGTAAGAACATTCCCAAACTAGTTCCTGGTAATGTTGTGTTATCCAGCAGAGTGCAATTCACAGATGACGTGATACCTTTTCTGGCTGTAGCTTATCTCTCAATTTTGCAGGTTGGAAGAAACCCATTTGTATTGGCAGGCATGCATTTGGAGATCAATACCGTGCCACAGATACTATCATTAAAGGAGCAGGAAAGCTCAAAATGATTTTTGGTGAGTTAATTTGATTACATACTTATTGTATACTTCTTATTGTGGAGTTTTATGTGTAAATACGTTCTCAAACATTTTTCCTCATTATTGCATGTCACCAGCTCCAGAAAATGGGGAAGCACCGGTGGAACTCGATGTATATGATTTCAAAGGCCCTGGGGTTGCCCTTGCTATGTACAATGTTGATCAGGTATGCAGCCTTATTTTTGAGTTTTTTTTGCTCTTTCTTTTCTAGAAATTGACCTTTTCTCCTCTTGTCTTTGGTGGTGCAATTTGCTAGTCTATTCGTGCATTTGCTGAATCATCGATGTCAATGGCATTTTCAAAGAAATGGCCCCTGTACTTGAGCACAAAAAATACAATTCTGAAGAAATATGACGGAAGGTAACCATTGATTTATATTTATCCTCTAAGATGGGTAACTTTCTATTACCTGATACAAACAGAATCATTGTCGCATACTCTCTTTGGTTCATAATAAGTGTCATTTTAGAGGAATTTTGTGGTTGACAATATGTGTGGGCTTATAAAAATCAAGATACGAGTACTTTTTTTTCCCTTTTTTCCATCTCTAAGACCCTATTGCAAAATTAATCTTCAATGAAATGAAATGCTACAAAGGATTAGTTATAACTTCTTAATCTGTTTGTTTTTCTAATATACTAGCATTATTTACATATCTTTGGGAACCAAGCAACCGATGTTAACATTTGGTTTTCAATATTTGCACTAGGTTCAAGGACATCTTCGAAGAGGTATACCAGGAGAAATGGAAGGCAAAGTTTGAGGAACACTCAATATGGTTAGTTTATGCCCGTATGGTTGTCAGTTGTCACAGGCTTCGGTGAAAATTAAAACTGTCAGTCATTTTAAGTACTTATATTGAGAATGGTGTGTGTGACATTAGGTATGAGCACCGGTTGATAGATGATATGGTTGCTTATGCCGTAAAAAGTGACGGTGGTTATGTTTGGGCTTGCAAAAACTATGACGGAGACGTGCAGAGTGATTTACTTGCTCAAGGTGAATAAATTTGATCCGCGGGTATGATCTAAATAATTAATAATGCATTACTAATCACAATTCTCTCGCCCATTTTCCAATGCAGGTTTCGGTTCTCTGGGCCTTATGACTTCTGTTTTGGTTAGTGACTTCACACCACAACATCATATGTCTATCATATACTCCCTCCGTTCTCAAAAAGAGTTCATAGTTTGACTAAGTGTAAAAATAAAGAAGTGTTAAATTGAAGTTGACTTCCAATTTTGCCCTTGATGTGATGGGTAAAAGTAATATGTGATAGGTAGGGTATGAAAAAGTAAGGGTAAAAGTGGTTTTTTAATAGAAAGTGGAAGTGTTTTTTATTGGAAGTGGAAAAAATGAAAGAGGAAGTGTTTTTGAGAACGGATGGAGTATCTGCTGGATTCCTTTTAAACAAAAATTTGAGCCGCCGGATGTTCTCTGCAGTTATCCTCTGATGGCAAGACTTTAGAATCTGAAGCAGCTCATGGAACTGTGACTCGCCACTTTCGGCTGCATCAGAAGGGACAAGAAACCAGCACAAATAGTATAGCTTCCATTTTTGCATGGACCAGAGGACTAGGCCATCGGTAATTATCCCTCATGAATGCTTATTGTAGCATTAGCTTTGTTGTGTTTAAATAGATGCATAATGTTGGAAGAGTCGTGAGTCGTCTTTTAAAAAAGTGAAATCTAATCTCGCGCTCCTTTTCGTACCCCATCCAGGGCCGAACTTGATGAGAACAAGAAACTCATGGATTTTGTTCAGAAACTAGAGACTGCTTGTGTAGAGACAGTAGAGTCAGGAAAGATGACCAAGGATCTTGCACTGTTGATTCATGGACCCAAGTAAGTAGCAGCTCCTTAAAACTGTTACAAAGGCACAATCATCTTAAAATGCTTACTGCTAACATAAAACTCCCCTCCCAATTTACCGTGCCTGTTTTCTTTTTTTGCCCATCACAACATACAATTTATCTTTCCCATTTCCATGCGTAGAGGTTCATGCTGTTCATATTGTCATTCTCTTTTCTCGATGAATTAAACCACACATTTGTTTTCACTTTTTTTATGTTGCGAGCAACATAAATTTTCACACGAAGGGAGTAATTAATATAATAGGATAAAGTTGAATGAAAGAATAAAATGCATGTGTTCTTGTGCACACAGGGTTTCAAGGGAGTTGTACTTAAACACCGAAGAGTTTATCGACGCCGTAGCCCATAACCTCAGATCAAAGATTGCTGCTCCCTCGCTTGAATAGATTGCTCATTGATCCACATTTCATTCTTTTGGCTAAAATGAGAATGCTTGTGATCTTCTGAGGAACTGCTACATATGTTGCCTTGTCCATGAATGCAATTCTTGAATTTCATTCACACTTAGAGAGATGAAGAAACTTACTTACTCCATTGTTACTTCATATTTTCACTAAGATTTGATACACATTTGTTAGTTAAGTATGGATTGAGTATGCGTTAATACAATTGTGTATTAACATAAACGGTTAATACAGAGTAATTCATTTGTGTATGCGTACAATTTGTAAAACTCAAACACTCGACAATCCATGGAGTTGACATTTTTAATAGATGCCAAAAGACAGATTAGATGTTTTTAAGAATCAAACCTCAAGGTTTTTCAATCTCATGTAAGATAAATTTGTTATTGGTGTTTGAATTGGTAACAATGTGAATAAAATCTTTTTATATGGCACTTGAGGCCTTAATAATGCCAATCACCACAGTTCTTTTGACTCAGGGTAATTTGACCTTCAAATGATCTGGTTCTTTTTTAGACGTTTCCAAATTATTGTCTCTTTTCTTTTAAAGAAATGATTAGATGGTTATAAATACTTATGCCAATAAAAATCAACTATACACCTTCCAAAAAGAGATAAACTATACAATTTTCATTTTTTAAAAATTCATGTAAAGGGACCGATGTATCCAAATACAAAAATGCTAGGAGTATACCAAAAGTGTACTCCAAATGCACACCACCTCCTCCATTGCCACATATTTTGGCATGTAAAATAAAAAAGAAATAAATAAATAAAAATGAGTGGTAATGAAGAGGGTGGTGTACACAAAAGTGTACCCCTAGCATCCCTCATCCAAATATAGTGTAAGAACCGCAATATAAAATATGGAAGCAGTGAAAGAGGGGAGTATTTTTGCAGGACATTTATATTATTCACTCTTGTTAAGTGACTAAGTGCTACTTATATTCATTTTGCAGGGTTTAAAGAAAACAAAAAACTGCAACAGTTTATAATATGGAGTAAGAAGTGACAAGCATCTGCAGCGTGGTTTTAAGATCTCATATACCTAAGGTAAACACGACTCGTGGAACCATTTGGACAACACAATTCCCTTGAGTTTAACAAGTGATACAACTAACCCGTAGCAAGGGATATGCATTAAAGCCACCACCACATACCTGCCATTAATTCAATCAATTCTTAATTTATTATACCAAAAAAAAACGCATAGGGGTTTTACGGATAATCCAGAATTAGCTCCAAGCAAACGGCAAGAAGGAAAAGAAAAAGAACAAAGAACAAAGAAAAGAAAAACAAGTGGGAAAAGAAGATGGGAAACACCTAGCGCAAAAGAACTTACCACAAGGGAGCTATCCTCAAAGACATGTCAAGAAATGGGTACGGCCACCTGCATTCGTCAAAATGATGACACCCATAAAAAAGCGCAAAGTACATTCGGTTTTTGCAAAAAGAAAAGAAAAGGGAATGAAACATTACCAGGTTGACACAAACGCGTGAACACACCACTGGAAGATGACATAACTACCAGTCCATAGGAGAAAGTAAGATATCCGGAACCAAGGGGTTTGCTGGAACAAGGTTTAATTATTTGTTAAGTAAACAAATGATCCAAGAAAGTATGAGACAGACTAAACGAGTATAATTGGGGAATAAACTTGATCGGTAGTATCGTTTTTTTTACCAAACAATTCATTGTTATATCACCGAGAAGCAGGATGGCATTAAGAGAATGGGCAACCACCGTCAACTAGCCAAAACAAAAACAAGGCAAATAAACAAGTATTGAACACATAATTGATTCATACAAGATATTTGTGATATCCTCACTGCTTGGTATTGTTGGGGTATCCCTCCTACATGGAGGAAGGAGTTCCTAAACAATACATTTAGTGTTAAAATGTAATTTGTTTAGAGGTGGAGTATTATAATAATAATAATAATAATAATAATAATAATAATAATAATAATAATAATAATATTTATTATTATTATTATAAGAAAAGAAAAAAAAAGAGTCAAAGTGGGGCTGCCACTTTTTGAAAGGCAATAGCCTTTTGTGGGCAGGCTGGTCACGGGCAGAAGTACACGGCAGAAACCGAGAGAGAAAAAAGAGAGGAAACCGAGAGAAGGAAGAAGAGAGAAAAAGAGAGGTGCAGCCTGGTTTTGTGCTCCGATCGACGACCAAACGAACTCCAATCGAGATGAAATTTTAGTATGTTGTTCCTGAGATCCTCTTCTTCATATCCAACGGTGGGATTGTTATTTTGACCTCTCGATGTCGGTAAAACTGCCTCTGTTTACTGCTGCGTTTTTATTGGGGATTTCTCACTCTTTAGTGAAGATTATTGTTGTTTGGTGTTCCAAGTTATTACTTGATGATTGAGTGTACCTCTAATTGATTTAGAGAAGATTCTTGGTGTACCCACTGATTTTCTTGGTGATTAGTGGAAGGCTTCGTGGTTTTCTCCCCGATTTGGGGTTTCCACGTTAAATCTTGGTGTTCGTTTATCGCTTGATTGATTGCTTGTCGTTGTTTTTGCTATTCTTGATTGGTCATATGATTTTGCCCATTTTGACAACACAAAGACGGGAAAATTATTTATTGCTTCCGCTAGAAAATTGAGGTGATTTTCCCAACAGGTATAATTTACAAGCATTTAACTCCTGAAGCTGTAGAGAAAAACAACAAAAAAATCGCAAAGACTTACAAAGCTCAAGTCATAATCTTTGATAGAAAGAAATGGGAAAATGACGGTCCAGTACAAACAGTCGGTTAGCATCACCGATCCAGCAGTCATCTGCATTTAAAAGCGATACAATGTTAAGAAAATCAAACATTTCTTTACCCATGAACTGATTTGGAAATAAGTGCATTTAAAAAGTATACCTGAAATAAAATTTGAAACAAGTAACCAAAAAGCCCCACACTTTTTGGAACACTAAGTACTCGCCGGAAGACACGATTGTCCCCTGTATTCACCCCTTGCAGATATTGTGTATGAGAGAGAGCCAAATGCAAACTTTTCTCCTCATCCATAGATGTACAGTCAACCTTGGTTGTTTTATAGTACTGGTAGCATCCGTAAATAGAAAGCAATGATCCAAACTACATGGCAACATAAAGAGACCAAAAACTGTAAAATGCTTATGGAAATTAGAAGATGCATTAAAGCAGATGTGTAAATTCAATCGAACTTATATAAATACGATCCAATAACGCAGCAAACCAACCGTGATACATACCAGGAAGTAAATGGTAACCAACATAAATGTCCACCTGTGCAAAGAGGACAAAAACATATACAGAGTAAATAAATAATCACCATCCAGCAAATATAGGATAATATCCAACTGTAATGCTTTATAGATCACCCTTAAGTTGATACTTGATACTAACAACAGAAAACCTTGCACACCAAGATCACTTACTGAGTGTAATAGAGAAAAAGGTCACCACCATGGACAATGGCATCAGCAGTGAGTGCTGCAGCTAGTAAAATGAATGCGACTAACCGGAATACCGCCAAAACAACTGGGTGCAATTCTTTCACAGACGGTCTCCAAGACTCATCAAACCATATACTCCAAGACTTGTCTTTCCGCTTCTCCCCTTCATCGGACCCGGATTTGTCCCTAGCTATACATTCGTATCTCCATATCAGGAACAATGATAAAACTATGGAAAAAAGTACCGACGCTTCGCAGAGCAAAGCCCTCCAACTCAGCCAATAACTTTGGGCAGTAGGGTCAGCAGCCACTAGGAATTGCATCCTCTCAAAGATGTAACCTTTCGTTACAACGTTTCGCTAAACACCCTGGCCTGCTTCACAAAATCTAATCAGCTCTACATTGTGCATCATTGACATGCCAATTTAAACACAAGTTGATAATTTTATCTCAAATTGCAAATTAATCGGCTCAAAGCATTGGGAATTGGGATGCTACGCAGCAAAATACAACATTGCAAAATCAATGAGCCCTAAATTGCACTGTATGCGTCAACATATACTCACAGACGAATCGCTATAACTAATCACGCACAATATATACGCACACACATGTGAAACAAAATAGGGTGCAATGAGTGCATAGTGGGAAGAATGAGTTCGGAGATCAACCGGAGAAGATACGCTTCTGCTTACATACATTAGGGGGGAGAGGTTTCGCCGCCGCCGCTTCCGCCCCGTTGGAATGTAGAAAATGACGCCGCCGTTTATTCTCATTAACTACAGTCGGAGAAGACGTTCGGATGCGTCAGCTTTGTTCTCTCTATGGAGTGCCACGTATTGGTCCCCAAATACCAGAATTTGACAGTTTAATTTCACAAAACTTAAGAAGAAATAGAGAGAGAGAGAAATGAAAAATATGTTGTTGAAATTTATTTGAGAGAAAGTGAAAAAAAATATCCACATATTTATTTTCTCAAAAAGTGAGCTAATGTGGTAAAATGTTCACTTCTCCAATGTTTAGGGGGAAACTCAATTAGATTTTAGTCATAGCTAGCTGAAGCAGATGTCACTATGCAATGCAAACTCCAATGCATTACACATAATATTTTTTAAAAGTGGAAAAATATAAAGTTCATTCATAAGCATCTCAAAAAAACGTAAAGTTGCTTCAAATGGAGAGGGAGGAAAAAATTGTTCGACCCCGTGCGTTGCACGGGCTAAAAAACTAGTGTGTGTGTGTGTATATATATATATATATATTACTCTCTACATTTTTAATTTGATTATGAATTGAGAATTGCAAAGTATTTAATGAAAACACACAAATAATGAAAACACACAACTCATGATTTAATTTGGGCAAGAGAGAGTATGTCCTTAAACTTTGGTATCTGAACATTTTTTTTTACTTAAGTAGTAGGAAATCCATTCTCCAATATTCATGGGAAAGCTCATTCAAAATGAAGTACTCATATAGTTATATGTGTGATGTTTGATAATTCTCTTAAACTAAAAACATAATTTAAGAGAATCATCTAAATATCATAGTATAAAAAGATGATGATTTAGTAGTAGCAAACATTCCGTGATTTAGTTTATTTATGAAAATGATGCTCCTCTAACATTAAAAAAGATATATTCTCCTTTTCTTCCGTCATTCTCTTCCAAATTTGTTTTAACACAATTTTCATAAAGAGATATGTGTCTAATTATGATTTGTATACAGGAAAGCGAAAAAATGTATGTCATGCAAACATTTCTTTAGAATAATGTTTGGAAGAATTAAAATATGACATTCATGTTTTTATGTCAGAATAGAACTTATAAGGTTAATAATTTTAACGTATTACACCAAAAAAAACTTTGTAATGTCAATATATAGTGTCACAATGTAATAGTATTATTCGAGAAATGATCGAAAATATGTCATTTCGATTTTGGGGAGAAAGATTATGTTTTGCTCTCATTTTAGTTACTTTATCCTTCTTAAAATGTTCTTTCTGTTTTTTTACAAGGTTTGATTGATTTTATTTTCAATTCAACTTATTTGATTGTAGGTGTAAAATTAATAAATAATATTTATACATTCAAAAAAGTACACCAAAAGTTCTTACAAAATAAGAGAAGACAAGACTACATTGTTTTATCAAATAATTAATAAAAATAAATAAAAAAAAGTAATTAAAATAGTACTCTCTCCATCCCGCAAAAAAATTCTCTTTTCTTTTTTCATCCGTCCTAAAAAAACATTTTTCTTTTTCTTTTATGAAGTCACTTTTACCTCTAACATACTTATCACATCACACTTTTTCACTATTAATCTATTTATCACATCATATTTTATTCATCACATCTAAAGACATTTTTAGAAAGTCAATACCAAAATACAACTCTCTTAAATCATACGAGTAAAAAAGGGGAGTATATTTTTACAAAATCGTATAGCGTGAAGAATAAATACGCAATAATAAGACATTATACGGAGTACAATTCAAGCCGTAAAGCCCGTAATCGTCTTTGTCCAGCCTTTTTCTTTTTCTTTCCCTCTATCGCAGAGTTGAGTTAAAGTACTCAAAAGCGTCCGGTGAATTGCCGCCTCTGCCGGCATACCCAACCCTAACCACATAGATATGGTGCTTCAACTCCACCCGGACAACAGATTGTCGCTCAATCGCCAAATCAAAGATGGAGATCTGGTCATCGTCTACGAAAAGCACGACGCCATGAAAGCCGTGAAGGTTTCAGAGCACGAGGTCCTCCAGAATCGTTTCGGCGCGTTCAAGCATTCCGATTGGATCGGAAAATCGTTCGGATCCAAAGTATATGGACACAAAGGCGGGTTTGTCTACCTGCTGGCCCCCACGCCGGAGCTGTGGACGCTCGTTCTGAGCCACCGCACTCAGATTCTGTACATTGCCGATATCAGCTTCGTGATAATGTGCCTGGAGATCGTTCCTGGCTCTGTGGTTCTTGAATCCGGAACCGGTAGCGGTTCATTGACCACTTCTTTTGCCAGGGCTGTTGCTCCCACTGGACATGTTTACACATTTGATTTTCACCAACAGAGGGCTGCCTCTGCTAGGTATGCTTCTTCTTCTTCTTTGTTAATCAATATTGATTTTGCTTTTTTAGGAATATTGGCAATGGGCATATACTTCTTGTCTTGTTTATACTTGTAAGATTCTAGCCCAAATATTGTGCAAAGTGTTTACGGAGGGGGGGATTTTACTAAAAATTGAACGGTTATAGTGAATACATGGAAAGAAAGGATCTTATTTTGAGAGGAAGCTTGGCTATGGGCATATACTTCTTATCTTGTTTATACTCTGTTCCTATATATCTTGTATATTCCTTCTTTTTTTTTTCATTTCCATTCTACATGGCATTATATGTTTCAATACTATTTGAGTATTTAACTTTCATTTGCATAAATTATCCGCTCAAATTTTGCTTCTTGAACCCCGTGCCTATTGAAAATGAACAGCATACATTGAGATCTAAGAAGTAGCACACCCGGGGCCTTCATGTGTAAAGTAAGCTAAAATGTTTGTCTACGAATATCACTTTTCTCAACCTGGCCCCAACACCCGTCCATACTCTTGTGTGTTTCCATCATTGGTTGCATTGTTGAAGAAGTTGGTAGTTTGACTATTTTCATTGGTGGTAGCCAGTAGGAAACATTTTTTTATGGCAGGCTTCTAGCTCGCCTAAAGCACATATCGTTTTAAAGATATGTCGCAATAGTATTATCTTAGACTTTTAGTTCATGTGGTGTTAATTGACCGAGTTCAACATTTTTCATGAAGGGATGATTTTGAGAGGACGGGGATAAGCGAGCTAGTCAAAGTTGGAGTGAGAGACATTCAAGGTGAAGGGTTCCCTGAAGAATTCATCGGGAGGGCAGATTCTGTCTTCCTTGACCTCCCTCAGCCATGGATGGCTATACCTTCGGCTGGAAAAATGTTGCGAGGCGATGGAATCTTGTGCTCCTTTTCTCCATGCATTGAGCAAGTCCAACGCTCATCTGAAGCACTCACATCACATTATTTTACAGGTAACTTGGGTCATTCTTGGCATTAGTATAGATTAGCAATGTATGTATGATCCAATGGTATTTGGTCTTCTATGCGTGTGTGTAGATATAAGAACATTTGAGGTGCTTCTTCGCACATATGAAGTTAGGAAGAGAAACATGGAGGGGCAGGATGGCAGTGGAAGCAATGGAGGAGGGTCTGTCGAAGAACATCCGAAGAAGAGAAAGTGTGGCTTTGATGCAGGCGGCGATGGTACTGTGATGGTGAGGCCTTCGAGCGAGTCACGAGGGCATACCGGATACTTAACATTTGCCAGGCTTAGATGTGTTTCTTGCAGTGATAATTAAAAGGGTCTCATCATATAAAATGTAGAGTCACATTTGCTTCATATCCAGTGTAACGTCATACTCTCTCTCCCGTGAATTTTGTTTCCATTTGTCTTTTTTTTAATCAAAGCTTGTAGATTTTGACTTTAAGATTTGTTTGGTTAGGGAGAGGGTATGGAGGCGAGGAAAAATGAATTCCTTTGGGTTGTATTTGAAAACTAGTATTTCATTTCAATTTATGTATTACAATTCCAAAATTTTAAATTTCAAATGACAAAAGGAGGTTAGAGGTACATGGATTTCAAATTAAGCTTTATTATGATTGAGAAGAATTTGACTCAAATCCCAATTTAAAAATTTTAAGTTTCTCAAACATAAAATTTGAGTCAAATCCAAATTCCAAAATTTTACTTTCAAACATGAAATTTGAGTCAAATCTGGATTGTATATTTCTGCTTCTTAATTGTTGTAATCGAAACTGCTGAATGTATTATAGTGTTTGGTTTGGGGGAAAATGCCTCCTCATTTTGCTTAAAGCATCTTCAAGGCAAGGAACCAAAAAAAAAAATCCAGCTTCCAAATGATGAAGAAAGCCCCCAAAAAATGCAGTACAACTCCACCCTCCAATTATGTTGAGGTAAGGAGAATGAACTCCCGCTCAAATAAATAAAAAACATTTTGAACCAAACGAAGAAGCCCTCCACCTAAACGTAAAAACAGACCCTACCAAAAAACGGTACATGACCCCAACCATAGACAAGCCAGAAAAACATAGCAAAAACCAGTGTTTCATTCAAAAAGCAGACAAGAACCGCAGGGGCAGGTCATTTTTACTACTACACATTTTAAGAGGGGTGGGTTGTAACACAAGTCAGTCAGCTTTATCCCCGAGAAAACTTGGATAGAAACGGCATCCATAGCCACCCCTGGTTGATAGATAGATAGATAGATACTCCGTAGTAAACAAAAGATAATGGTGCTATTCAGAATTTACAGGAGGCAAAAAATGAGTAGCTGATTGCACCACCCTCTGGTTCTAAAAGGTTATATAATAACTGCAGATATAAACAGAAACGGAGGAAGGCGGTGAAGGGGAATTATGTCCCTTTATGAAAGACCTCAGGAACCTCCCCAACCTGAACCCCCCTCCCTGTTAGGACTACCAAGCCTGGGTTTCTTTGAAGCTGACTGCATCATCATTCGCTCGTGGAAGCTAAGAGAACCGGAGCCTCCTCCACCACCACCTCCAGAACCGTTGCCATCATCGCATGAACTACTCTGCCCATACCTGAGGTTGAAGGAATATTTACTCTTATTTATCATGGTTATAAAAGGAAACAAAGACTATGAGCAACACTCTTGGGTGAAGAGATAGATAAAAAAGAGACCTGTTGTTTGGTTCATTATCCTGATTGTCATCCCGGCCTCCACCTGACATGCTCCAGCCTCCCCTCTGTCCACCATATCCAGAATCACTACTACGTCCACCACCATAGCCAGAATCATTGTTTCCCCCACTTCTTCCATTTCGTCCACCACCATAGCCAGAATCATAATTTCCTCCGTCACGTCCACCACCATATCCACTGCTCCATTGACGGCTAGGCCTTCCCATTCCGCCCCCGCCGCCACGTGAAGCGATATCACGAAGTTCATCAGGAACTTTCTGGCCTGCACCTTCTAAGATTTTAATGAGATCCGAAGCATACTTCCCATCTTTATCCGAGAAAAATGTGTATGCCAAGCCAGTAGCACCTGCTCGCCCCGTCCTACCTATTCTGTGTACATAATCCTCTATTCCAGTTGGGAAATCAAAGTTTATGACAACTCTGCCCAAATAAAAGGCAAATCAGTACCAGCAGAAGAATGAAATGTGTACTTATCTTCTTTTTCTTTCCCCATCTCTTTCTCTTTCTCTCCCTTGGGGAAGGAGAGGTATATAATGTAGCAGTGATATGTGATTTAAAAGTGTACGAAAAGCTATGACAAATTCAGGCATACAATGTGGCAAAAAAAAACTTAAGCAGAAATCAACAAATGGTGTCCACGCCTTTGTTTTTCTTGAGGATATGGGAAGGCATAAAAAGAACCCCTTCCCAAATGTGTGTTCCCGGCCATGCATGGAAACAACAGCGACATTGATCTCAAGAAAGAGTGGAAGTTTATATTTAAGTTGGAAGTTTATATTTAAGTTGTCCTAATATGCCAAGGCATTTAAAAAATGGAGTGCATGATCATAAAGGTATGTTGTAGGTTGTGCCTCTGATAATAGTGCAGTACTGATAGTTACCAACCTGATATCTTTGACGTCCAAACCACGGGCAGCAACATCAGTGGCTACAAGAACTGGGGACCTACCAGACCGGAACTGACTCAACACAAAATCTCGGTCAGCCTGATTTTTGTCCCCGTGAATGGCTGCTGCTCCGTATGGTTGTTTGAGGTTACCTGCAAGCTGGTCACACATCTTTTTTGTTGCACAGAAAATGATAATCTTTGATCCTGGCTCTTGGGATCTCAGTATTTGCTCCACACGACGGCGTTTATCCATAAACTCCAGTACTTCAACATGCTGTGACAAAAAAATAAACACATTATTCAAACCAGATTTGACTATTAAATGAACACTCAGAATTTGGACCAGGAAAATACTAGGGGTGGGGGATAAGAATTGGAGTATTGGACCAAAGAGTAGTGGAAGAATGAACTAAAATGAGGGGAAAAAACGATAGGGGAAACCCTGATAAATTATTTTAGAAACTTGATGACTCGTTTTATTTATTCATGTCTATAAGTCTATTATTATGTACTCCCTCCATCCTAAACTGATCTTTGTACTTTCCTTGTTTAGATGTCCCAAAATTAAGATTACATTTCCCTACTTTTCAATTAAGGAAATGAATATAAGGCTCAAAATATTTCTCTTTTCTAAACAGGTTTTAACCAAACGACTTTGTTTTTCAACACTTTTTTTTAACTCCGTGAAATATAGTAAATCTAAATGTGTAAAAGAAAATAATCTCTGTAAAAACATGACTCTGTTTATTATCCAAGGTAAAATCATACTACATGTCTACATATATTGAAAATAACTCCCATTAGAATTTTTCCATTCCCCTAGTCTTCCATGATCCTAAACTACCTTAAAAAGAAATTTAAACCCATGAACCTTCATGATTTTTTAGTGCATATATAAGGAGGGAAATGGAGGAAGTGAGTAGGGCAATAAAACAACCTGTGTTATAGACTTGTTTGCAACAAGTTCATCAGCATTCCCAATGTTAACCTGGACCGGATTAGCCAGTAGATCAGATGCAATTTTGCGAACCTCTTTTGGCCATGTTGCTGTGTACATCAATGTTTGACGCTCAGATGGCACCTCCTTCACAATTTTTCTTATCTGGGGTTCAAAGCCCATGTCCAGCATGCGGTCTGCTTCGTCTAATACCAAATATGATATCTGTTGTAGACTAATTCTTTTCATTTCCAAAATATCATTTAAACGACCAGGAGTAGCAACCACAATGTCTACACCTTTGTCTAACTCCCTTAACTGGGGGCCTTTTGGTGCTCCTCCATAGAGACACTATTTTATACCACAAAACCAACAAATAATACCCTATGTGAGCCCTTATTTAGCACAATTGCGTACAAGCAAATGATTCCATAACAAAAGTAGTACCTATCAACTATAATTCGCATGATGCAACACCACTTGACTTATAATATGCTTCTTAAAGATCAATGTCGATCAATGTTTGGTAATCATAACATAGAACTACATTACGAAAGAGCATGATGTTGCATGTCATCTAAACTAAAGGCATGATGAGACCAAGCAGATTAAAATTTTGCATTGTACTTAAGCAAACATTTTCACTTGCATTGCCACTGGAAGCAGAAATTAAATCCGAGTGAAGAAAAAGAGAGGTATTGAATAAAGAAATAGCATATCATTAGAATAACTGAAGTAAACCATCATACCGTACAAGAAAACCTTGAAGATGTACCAAACTTTACAGCTTCATCTTGTATCTGTGTTGCTAACTCTCTTGTTGGTGATAACACAAGAACAGTTGGCCCCATTCTAGGATTATTATGACAACGTTTTAGATGCATAAAACCAGGAACCAAATAACCCAAAGTTTTTCCTGAACCAGTCTTCGCAATAGCTACTATATCCCGTCCTTGGATAGCTATAGGCCATGATTGTGCCTGTATTGGTGTTGGAGCTGAAAAACCAGCCTTTTGCATCTGGAAAAAAAATAATGAAACCCAGTTATTGAATGCAAATATTTTCATGCATTTATGGCCATTTGACTTTTTGTGACCAACCAAAGAAGAAGAATCCTCCTTACATTGGCAGCCAATTATGCAGCAAGCCAGGGCAGGAGGACACCTCTTCTTCCATTTAGACCACATGACTGAATGAATTGTCATCAAAGAGCATTTTCAGTCACCAACAGCAAGCCCGTCAAATAATTTGAAGCATGAATGAACACCTCAAAAGAGGGCAAAGAGCACAGTGTGCGACATTTAGCTCCTTCCGGAGCTCCCAGAGCAAATATCGCACATGTGACATGTGAGAACATTTAAAATGGGAAAACAGGGGTGAGGCACAACAATCAACCATGATTCTCCAGTAGCTAGTGCAACTCAAGATTACACCATGCTTGTACTTTTGAATAGCTTCTTGTCACCTATAAACTGGTCCAAGTTTTTACCCCCATTAATTGGAGGATATATATTAGGAGTTTCATCATACCTCTCTCAAAAGCTCTGATGGAAATCCTGTTGCCCTAAAGGATGTGAAAGGTGGTGGAACATTAGCTCCCTGGTGATAGAATAAAAAAACATGTCAAAACAAAATCACCCAGCAAATCAAAGAAAGTTGGGATGTGAATGAATGTTCCACACTTCCACAGTTCCACTGCTATCGGAATTCATAAATGCACCCTAATATTTCTATTACAGCATACAAATTGTTTTATAAAGCATATGGACACTCTTTTTCAGAAGGAAAAACAACACACCGAGTAAAAAATACTGGCTAATACAAACATGAACACAAACAATTGAGATACTTACAGATACAGATATTTCATGCTGACGGCGATAGTTTTCTGGGGATATATCACTTCCAGCACTTAAATCACCATAGGTTTTAGGAGCAGATGATTCGCGTTCACATCCAGAGATGCACAAATTTGAAGCATGCAGAGATTGGTTAGAGCAGTTTCCCACTGGCTGCAAAAAAAGTAAAACTAGAATGCTCAACCAAAAAAGAAAATCCACTGAGTGCCAGTTGAAAGCAACATTGTGTGTAAAAGTTAAAAGCCACATGTAATGTGTAGATGGTGAGACAAAAAAAATGTAATGGTCTACACCAAACATATAAAATGGTACTACACAGCATGGAGCATATCCAGATATTATATCCAATACCCATTGGCACACATAGAGAAAGATAACTATTAACAGAAATTGAAATAATGCATTCCAACCAACAGATATCTCAGGTTTAGACATTCTCCGAACAATTTACTCGTAGTATAATAATAAGATAGGCCAGCACTGAATAATCAGAACGGAAAAAAGAAAGTGGAAGAGAATGCAAGTACCATAGAATTTTCCTCAGATGAAAATCTACTTGAGCCACCATTGCTACCTGCGTCATATTTATCACCATCTTCGGTGTGCTTTTCTTGGGATGGCTTCTGAACTGATGAACTTGCTAGTCCAGAAGATGACTCATCCTCATGAGATGGCTTCTGAATCAATGAACTTACAAGACCAGAAGATGACTTGTCTGATGGAGCACAGCCCCCGGGCCTCTCATACTGAGTAACATTGGTCTCAGGATTCCAGAAGTAAAGATAGCCAGTTCTACCATCAACTAGGCCTCTCCAGGGTTTGGGGAGTGTTGGGTCTTCTGGTGCATAACGCGGACCAGCTGAAGGTGCAGTTGCAGTTGCCGCCATGGCTGAGAAAAAGAAAGCAGCAGGGATTATAATGTAGCATGTCAGATGAGTAGTAATGTTGAATTCCAAGAAAAACATATTCAGCACAGCTGGCATTAAGATTTGAGCAAAATCCACAAAATGTAGGAACACAGAGCAAAGCCATAACAACAGAAATGCTTACTAAAAGAGAAAAAAATAACGGGCAAGGGAAAGAATGCATGGGAAAGCTTGGTTAGAGATAAATGTACACTCCGCAGTGGAATGCAAAGAAAGACAGAGTGTGTGCGCGAGCATTGGGAATTTGAGAACAACAAAGACGGACCCAGTGTACATCCTCCAAGTCTCCAACCCCAAGCGCACCATTTAGAAAGCATACATAGACATTAATACGGTCCCGTGTAAGCTCATTTCAAGAGAATGCTAATAAATGTTCCAACCTTCAAGAACTACTACAACACAGCGAAACAAGGCGGAGGAACCCCTACACTTCAGAACATTGATCGGCAAGAAATTTCAGGAGCAAATGAGCAAACAACCCACAGATGGAAAGGGGGGGGGGGATGTTAAACATAAACCCTAGATTGCCATTTGAAATAAAGTTCTAGGGTTCACAGGGCATACCAAATGGCTAGCTCGGGATCTGAAATGCAGCGCGAAAAGTTGGAGAGAAGAACCGCCGCGACTGAAAACGCCGGTTCGTTGGCAGCTTGAGAAGGCGTGGTCTGTTCTGGGCTTCTGGCTGAAGCAGCTATAAATGCTCCCCCGCCTCACCTAGCCTAGCCTTGTGTGTCTTTCCACATCCACTGTGGTATGACTCTATGAGTAGATATTAGTACATGTTAGCATCACTTGCATGTATTAATATGGAATTAGCTAGAGTAACGCAGACATTATGTGCCGATGTGCCCCTTACCCACAAGCATATAATATGGGTGTTACTCTCGTGTATAAATGGAGTGCACTATTTTGATGTACTCCTATTATGTCGCATTAATATGACATTTCTTACATATCAAAGTTTATTTAAATTGGTCTAGAAAAAAAATTCCTTACCAATTTGAATTAAATAAATACATGGAGTAAGAAATAAAAATTCTAGGGGTGAGTAAGTACCGAACCGATACCGAAATTTCCCGAAAAAACCGAGAATACTGAACCGAAAAAGTACCGAGAAGAAACCGAACCGTACCGAACCGAATGGTCGGTACGGTATTTGGGAACGGTACGAGGTGACGTACCATACCGAAAATCCCGAACCGAACATATATACTAAAATATTATAAAAAATAATAACCCGTAGTAATATTTTTCATATTCCTTCACTAAATAATACGGAGTAATTTTTTAAAAAAAAATTGGTTGAAGTTTTATCATGTGTAAGTTATACTTTTATTTGATTTTTAGTTTTTGTGTATAAACATAAAAGTATTCACAAAGATTCGAAAAACCCTTTGTTGTCGTTCATTTTTTTAGTTTGTGAAATATAAACTATGTTTTGATATGCATCCCTTGCATTTAAATATTCATTTTTTTAATTTTTCACTTTTAATTTTCAAAAATAAAGGGACATTGTTAAACTTTAAGGTGTAAAGTAGGTATGTATATTCATCCCGATTTGTACCGAAACCGATACCGAACCATCCCGAACCATACCGAACCGATATGTCGGGATCGGGATCGGTACGTTGTAAAATCCCATACCGAACCGAAATATTTGGTACGGTATCGGTACGGTACCGATACCGTACCATGCTCACCCCTAAAAAATTCCTTATTATTTTTTCCTTTCCATTTATTATAAAAGCATCCTTATATAAAGGTTTACGATAATGCTCTTTTTGAAATATATATTATTTCTCTTCACTTACAACAAAACGTTTTATTAATAAATAAGGCACTCTCTTAACATTTAAGAGTCTTTTCTTTTCTGCAAGAATTCTAAAATTAGATGTTGAAAAAATAAGAAGAAACTAGTAGTTGAAAAAAACAAGAAGACTTTAGAAAAAATTTATAAAGTTGGAACATGTTGAAAAAAATGTTAAAAAATTATTCAATTAAATGATCATTCAAATGAGTATGTAAGGAAACTAATTTTGAATAAAGAATAATTCATTTTTATAAACTCAATTAAAGGATGGCTTAAACAAATATAAATTTCTATAATAAAATAAGGAGTGTGTATGACTTAATTAATTAGATTTTTTCGTTAATAAAATTAATACATTGTGGATCTCAATATTTTGTAAAGAAGTTTCTAATAAGGAACACTTTATGGTTCCGTGTATTCTATAATTTTCTCCTAATAATTACAAAATGGGAGGGATTCGTTGAGCACACCAACCCTCATCGATGGATGTAGTGATGCCAATTGCTGATTGAGGCACGTTCACCATCTCTAATCCTAACTCAGTGTCACATTAATTTTCTCCATTACATCTCTATTTTGTTTCCAAATGAGGTGCGGACCCTCATTTTATTAAAAAAATCAATAAAAGATGTCATCTCAAATCTATGTAAATCAATAAAAAAAAGTCGGGCCAAACTCTTCATGAAGCCTATCAATTTTCTAAATCCACCAATGTTTTAAAGTCTAAAAAATCCAAAAACAATCTAAATTAGATATACCCTCATTAGTTTTCATTGTGTCTTAAATTTTGGATAAAAATCAAATTCGAACACACCCTTACCTCTTTTTGGAAAAAACCAATAAAAAAAGAGAATTTATCTAAATAGTATTAAAACATAGTAACTTCCTAATGTAGTACGATATGTTTTTATTTTTCAGTGTAGCACCACTGTTCAATGCCTATTAGTCATTGTTCAAGAAAATGTCCACCACCACTAGATATTGTTCAATCTAAATGTCTATCATCACCCGACATTGTTTCTACCACTAGACATTATTCAAATTTAAGTACTACATTGAGAAAAGAATATACTCCCTCCGTCCCCATTTTGATTACAATTTTTTTCCCTCCTTTCGATAACTTTTAATTGTTTACGCGATTTCATTAAGTATTTGATAAAATCAAATATTCTTGTCACATCTTGTTTTGTAAAACTTTGACGTAATTTTTTAATTTGTAATTTTATTTTTTATCAATATACCGATTTGTAAATAAAATGATTTCAGATAGTGAAATATTTCTCCTCGTAATCGCAAATTTGTACTCAAATTGGAGATGAATAGAGTATGATTTAATACTATTTAGTGTAAATTTCACTTGAAATAAATTTGAGCGGCGTGTGGACACGAAAAACCACATGGGTGGTGCGAGGTGGCAGATTCCAACTCCTCGTGGCGCATCACGAAAAGAATTAATCTAGTGGTACACCAACATGGGGTACCTCATTCGTATACCAAACCAACACAGAAACACATAGCCACAAAATGTCTGTGTTGTACAAACATTTTTGTGTTTGTGTGTGTATATGTTGAATTAGCTTGGTGTACAAATGGTGTATCTCGTGTTGGTGTACCCCTAACATTGCCCTCACATAAAATGTATAGTTTGATGCTAAAATGGAATCAATTGAGAAATTGTGCACACATTTAAGATGGGAAGGTGAAGAAGAAGGCATTCTAACAAAGACAATACTTCATTAAAGCTCAAAACACCTTCTGGGTATGTTTGCCCCTTATAGGAAAATAAAGATCATAAAAAAAAAGTCAAAATAAAGTCTGCTACAAAATCTAGAAAATGATTTTGGATTTTCTTAGTTGTTGTCGTGATTATCAACCAACAATAATATTGCAATTACCAACCACCATCAACCGGGAGTAATACTTTGGCATTTAGGTTTAATTAGAAACTCCTAATAATAACTAATAACCCATCTGTTTCTAAATAACTCCCACACATGGTTTTCTACAAACATTAAAAATTAAATGAATGTGGACATAATGAATGCTCATATACATCCTGTATCTAATAAGTCATACCCTGTATGTAAGAATAAAGTGTGGTGTATGAATCTTGTATAAAAAAATTTAATGTTCATAAGCAAACCGTGCAATTCTCAAAGAATTTGGGAGTAAAGAATACATTTTTTCTCGATTCCACATTTATGGGGGCAAATTAAACTTTGTGGGTATGCTTGCCACTTTTGACACTAAATATAAACATAGATATTATCATATTTATCCTTTTGGTTCTCATGACATTGAAATCAATATCATGAGATGACTTAGAGTGCTCTGATGACCCGTTCGTAAAATTGACGGTATTTACCGCTCAATCCCCTTGGTAAACCTCCATCCCGCCCGACCCAAACACATCCTACACCTTCTTCAATCTTTGACAATAATAAGAGATATCATAAGTGGGAGTTTTCCAACCTTTTTCCTCTAAATATTAAATGTTTCGTATATTGTTTTGTGGGCGACCAGTACAATAGGCCAGCAAGGCAACCTGTTCCTTTGACATTTTGGTCCATGTAGCAATCACAAGTTCAGAACCAATTTGATTCATTGGTCGGATTAATTGATCCAATGCAGTTGATTTTCTAATCTACAAATACACCCAATGCACTTCTGTCCCAATCTACCTACTATTCATTTTCTAACCTACATAATTACAGTAACTAATCCCTCACTTTTTTTATTTATTTTTTGTAAACCGGAATTAATTACCCACTTTTCAAATTCAAATATTCAATAAAACAATTATGATGAATTATCTAATTCATTTTAGAGATACCCATTTGAAAGATTTATTTCACATTTTAAATTCATTTCTTAAAAACGGTTTTTTTAAAATTTTCTTTTAAAGTGATAAACATGTGATTCATATAAATTCTCTTTCATCTAAATAAATTTCAATTATATACTTTTAACTTTTTACCGAGTAACATTTTTTTAAATACTACGGAATATTAAGGTTAATTTATTTTACATACTTGTTAAGGGTGAGGGAAATACCAGTTCGTCATTAATATTTCATATAGAATTAACAATTCAACATGAGTCAATTCAAACGTGAGTATTTAAATGCTTCTAGTAAATTATCTCAAATCAAAATCTAATTTACAATTTAAAAAGATATATAATATGGAACAAGTCAAAATCCCAAACTAGAATGTTACCACTAAAATATTACTTTGTAATTAATTATACATTGGGTTTGTTATTTTTCATTACTAACTCTTATATTTGAAATGTGATTTTTCGAATAATTTTTTTGCTTTATCATACAATAAAACTTTCAACAAAAAATGTTTAATTGAGCTAACAATAATCCATCCGTTCGGAAATAAATTTTTTATTTTTCTTTTTTCTTGTTTCTTCCAAAATGATTTTAAACAAACTAAAGTAAAAGTAAAATAATGAAAATATAACAAAATAAGAGTTCTATATTTTTATTTCCAAAGAGAAGTTAAAGATGTATTTAAAGTGTCGACCATGACTATTTATATTATCAAAAGTTTACTGAAATGTACGTGTACATTATCACAGTACGAATTTTCTATTTAGAAAACAACAACAACAACAACCCAGTTGAATCCCACTACAGTAGGGTCTGGGAGGGTGTGTGTACGCGGATCTTACCCCTACTCGGAACTAGGGAGGCTGTTTCCAAGAGACCCCCGACTCAACCTGCACAAAAAATATGGTAGGGAACACAGTATAACACGGATAAAGCATCAAGTACAATGAAATGAAAGTTCTGCAAGCAATAACAAAAGATTCCAATCAAACACAACATACTACAAAAAACCTATGCAGCACCGAGCTTCTATCCAGCTAGTCTAATCCTAGTTCTCCAAAGGTTCCTATCTAAAGTCATA